ACAAATAGTTCTAATTAAGCAAAGAACACGGACATGCAAAAGACAAAAATAAGAACACGGACATGCAAAAGACACAGAACTTACAAACTATGAATTTCTTTTTCAGACGAACATACCAAATAAGAAAAGACAAACTTGAATCTAAACACAAACAGAAATATAAAACAAAGCTGCCACAAACTATCAATTTCTTCTTCAGACAAACATACCAACTAAGCAAAGACAAACTTGAATCTAAACACAAACACAAATATAAAACTAAGCAAACACAAACACATAAGCAAAGAAACAGAACCTCAAACACAAGCTTGAATCTAAGCAATTCATTTTCGTTTTCATTGATACTTTCAATTTCATTGTCAGCAATCCATACTATCCCAAAGTTGTAAACCCTAATTCTCAATTACAAACAGAATCTCAAATTAATAATATAGTTTTGAACCCTAATTCTCAATTAGAAACAAAATCGAAAATTACTTACAGCTTCGTTACTTACAGAATCTCAAATCTCTTCCTTCTCTTCTTTTCAGCTTCGTCTCCTTCCTTGTTTTCGTTGATAAAGAGCTTCAAACCTCGCAATAAGCTACAGACCTTGAAAGCTCACAATAAGAGAATTTAATTAGGGTTAAGGAGACTGATAATGGGAGCAGCTTGAATGAGAAATCAAATCGGATGGAAGACTAACCCAGTCGAAAAAACAGAGAAGACGAGAAGTCTGGCGAACGAGAAACAGTCGGAGCAAAAGAATAGAGCTACGGAGAGGACGAGAAGTCGAGAGAAACCCAGCTCCGAATCAGATCTAGGTCGAGACACCGAGCCCAGATTGAAATCGACGCCGGTGGAAGTGGAGATTCTCGCCGGTGAAGCAAGATTCGCCGACGAGCGGTCTGAAACTAGGTTTACGGTCGCCGGTGTTTTCACTCTGAGCTAAGACGAGAGTGTTGTGTTTTTTTTTCCCCGAGTCTTCTCTTTTTTTTGTTTAAGACCAAAGCTTATTTTTCTTGTTTCTTTTTCTAAGTGTTCGCGACTTCGCGGTCTTGGACAAAATTTCACCAAGTGTTGGCGGTACAAAGTGATTTTAGTTTCCCGCTTTGCTATTATTCGTCTTAGCGTTTCTGAAACGCTGTGTTATAGTTACAAAACCCTGGGTACCATCTGTAATAGCAATTGAGTAATCAACGCTATCCTATAGTGCTATCAATGCATACTTTTGTTGTAGTGCTTGCAAAACCTAACTATATTAGTAATTTACATCCAAAACTCGCCAACGATGATAATTACAAAGCATTTTCTAAGCTCACCAGGACCTAAAACATACAATAACTTTTTGTTCTTGATTAGTTTTTTTATTTCTTTCTTTTTTTGTTAATAGTTATCTTATTATAAACAATAGTACTGATACTTATATAATGATTCTGGCATTAAAATAAGCATAGAAATTATATAGGAGTAAGAAAAAAAATTCACCGAATTCTAGAAGGTCTTCACTATGACATGACCGATTGTAGTTTCTAAAGACGTTCGTTTTGTGTTTATCCGATGAAAAGTACTTTTGTTTAGCAATTGTTGATATTTTGATCTTGTGGATGCTTTTGTTTCATTTCTCAAATTAAGTTGTAAGTGTTTTCTTAAAACTAGTACATTTCTTCTTTCTTTTTTCTTTTTTTACAACAGCAAACATACATCTCTTATAACAACTATTACTGCCTATTACCAACTCAATAGCTACTTGACTCTAGACACATGGTAATACGGTTCTTCTTCTACTTGCTATCTTCGTTGTCCTTCATCAATCATCATCATCGTCTCACACCTTTTGTTTCCTTTTGTATGATCAATCAAGGGATCAATTCTCGACACTAATTGTAAAAGCTACGTAGGGTTGTGTTATTTTTGAGGTGTTTAAATGGGCTATCCAGTAAATGAGGTGTGTTATGATAACGAACTGAAATAAATAAAATTTATAAAAAGGCTGTGAAAAAGGAAGAAAATCTGTCTCAATATGATCATTGCTTTGTTGATATAACATCTGCTAGCTAGATTTTTTTTTTTTTTTTTTTAAAACTTTTATCTGGTAGCTAGATTAGTGATGGATCTTTGCCAATTGTGTGGCCCCATAACAAAAGAAAGACCACATGATCAATAATATACTCGCTAATTACAACTACATCAAATGGTGTTTAACTTCTTATTATTAATTATTAGAGAGCACAATGAAATCAGAAGATCGGTTGATGCCAACATTTCTAAAACTAGCTTTAAGTTGTCGAAGTGTGAAGAATGGAAGCTAGAAGATTTGCATTAGGCATGATCAGTAAATGCTCGTCTCCCCAAAGGAATTCTCCAAGAAGGACCCCCACCTACTATATCATGCAAAAGTTTCAATGCGTAAAGAGAAAAAGAAAACATATACAGTAATATATAAATTCATAGTAGATGATATACTCTTTTTTTTTTTTTTTGGGCAAAAGTAGATGATATACTCAAAGTGAAGTTATTTAACATCCAATGTGTCTTGAAAAATGTGAAAATTATTCTTTTTGGCTAAACGTAATTTTACCAATTATATTATTGTGATGAGATCTAATCCTATACTATTATTTGGAGAGTACACTTTATAAGATACCCTTAACTAACCTTCTCTTTTGTAAAAAATTACTTAAGAATGCCATTACAAAAATCTTATTTTTGAACAAATTTCATTCAATTTATTAAGGATAAACAAGTAAAATACTAATTTAAGTCATTTAATTAATTTAATTAAATTATAAAACGAAAATCTGTTATTTTTTTTTTTTAAATGACCAATCAAAATGAACATATAAGATTTGATATCTAACTTACCATATTAATTTGTTATTAATCATTAGACTTCACTTCTCATCTTTATATGATTATATTTATATGAAACAAATAAATCATCATATCATCTACATAATAAAAAAAAAAGTAATTTTTTTCTGCAAATGCCAAGATTTAAATTTTTAAAAACACATATAAATTGTTCAATCTATAAATGAAACAATTAAACGGGTCAAAAATTCAGACTTGAGTAATATATTTCTTTTAGACAAAAATAAATTCAACAAAAATTCCGACTGAACAACGGATCAGAATTTGAATATTTATATTCGATTTCATAAATTTATTTTTTTGAAATGTATAATTTTATATACTACAATAAAAAAAATTAAATATTTTAATTTGCAACATTTAAAATAAGTTTTACTTGATATTTTTAGAGAATATCATCAATACTTAATAGCTCAAAAAGTTAAAAATTATAAATACTCTAATTTGATTATTTTAAAAAATATTTATAATAGGTAGCAGGTTAAATATAATATATTATATGATGAAATGAGTTTTGATCCTTATAACTATTTGAATAGTTATATTTAATTTCATATAATTTGTTTTTTGAAATTCATAATTTTATAAACTACAAAAAAAATTTAAAGATTTTAATTTGGAATATTTAAAAATAGTGTAGAACATTTAAATATGGTTTGACACCTCTAAATATTTGAAAATTTGATTCCGCAAGCAATTTTAGAATTAACGAATAATAGATTGTGCACACAATATTTTAAAATGAAATATTAAGATTCTAAAATAAAAATATAGACTCCACGCACAGGTTGATTTTGGTATTATTATATACTAAATATATGTTTATAACATATTCGATTATGCGAATAATTGGTAAATCCGTAGTTATAAATCTCAAACAAATTCTGTAATTAGATTAGCTCAAACAAATCTCAATTTCAACAACCAAAAAATTATAAATTGAAAAGGAATTTTCTAAATTAATTCAAAATAATAGTTAATTTTCTTAATTAGTTCAAAATAATCTATGTTTTATATGCGATTCATTTATGATATTTTAATTTTTAATCTAACTGAAATATATGCAATCCTATTTTGTGGTTGTTAACATAAATTAACTCATTGTTCCAAAAATATTACTTTTTAAAAAATAAAATTATTTTCCGTTTTCATATCTTAAAAAAAAAATTATCCACAATTGAGTATTATAGAAAAAAAATCTATATTTATTCTAATTCTAATATTGTATATAGGGACTGACAAAAAATTAATATTTTTTCACTTACTATTATAATATATTAAAACTTATTTCTAATATATATATTATATAAATTTTGTAATAAATAAAATTCAACCCGTACTTTAGTACGGGTGATGATCTAGTTTTTTTGATAATAGTAAACATGTCAAATTTTATTAAGGGTACCACGCGTTTTGAATATTTCCTAATAATTTTGAATACATGTCATATGGTTGGAAAGTTGACACTAAATATTGATTTTGACCTTCTTAATTTTTATTTTCAAACTTAGGTTATCGATCGTCTTTACCTGATATATTAAGAGTAGAAGATGAAGAGAAATGCATTATTTAAAATGAAAAAAATGTATTTGATTGTGTTTGCCCGAGAAGACGAGGAATGTCCATATCTTAAAGAATCCTATTATAGGGAAAACACGTTTAACTTGGAGGCTTTTTCTTTTGGGGTATTCATACTTTGCTGAACTAACATGGTCATCTACATAAAACTAAAAACCATATAGTATTTTTAAGATCTATTTACAATTTTTAACTTAAATAACTTAACTATACTCTCTTTCTCTCTCTCACTCTACTCGAGGACTTAGCAGAAAATGCAACAGCCTAAACCTCAATCAAACGACAGCTGACACTTTCCATCTCTATTTATATACGATTCAACGGTTTAGGCATCATAGATGGATCGTAGAAAAAATAGAGTGAAACAAAAACAGAGAGGTTTACATATTTAATCGTAACATTGATGTCGAGCTTCAGTATATGACAAATCTCATGAATAATCTAATTTTTAGACTTGGTGATAAGAGTATATTTCTTTCTTTTTAAACGAAATAATTGGGTGTAATTAAAAAGATCCACGAGAGACACCTAGTGGTATATATGTTCTAGACTTCTAGAAAAAAGAGAGATTTAAAGTAAATATTCTCAAGTAACAGCTTGAGGGTTTTATTCATTAATATATATGTATTCTTGTAGCCACATATTGGGTAAACAATTCTCACATAGAGCTAACAAAGTCAACGATCTCCACCACATCTTGGAGCAGAGTGTTGGAGTTCACCACCCTACAATTCAACCTGATTTGTCCTTGAGTTCCTGTAGTAGGTGTAATGTTTCCCATCCTATTCATCGCCTCCACAAATGCATTGAAGAATGTTTGTGTGCCATCAGCATATGCTCTCACCAAGGGGATTGTGTCAGTGGCATTGGGGCTAGAGAACAACTCTTGATCGCTCTGGATAAGACCTTTTTGCTCTTTGAGATTTACGTAGTATTTGTTGTCGAAAACTGTAGGCGTACGCAGATCAAAATCGACCAAGGCACTTCGATTGCCATTAAGGGGGCATAGTCCACGAAGAGTTTGGAGGTAAGTAGTATTGAGGGTAGGGTCGGGTAAACCTGTGTTGCTGAAATTGTATAATCTGTCCAGAATAAACTGACATTGATTTTTACCAAATGTGTGACCACCTAACAAAACAAATACCATAATTAGATTAGTAATAAACTCGCTAATTGATATTGTATCAATGGTGTTTAATTTTCTTTTGTTAATTACCGGAGAGAGCAACAAGATCAGAAGGACGATCGAGGCCAACATTTTTGAAGCTGGCTTTAAGCTCTGGAAGTGTGAAGAATGGAGCTGGGAGATTTGCATTAGCGAGATTTAGAAATGCTTGTAAGCTGTCTCTCCTTCCCAAAGGAACCCTCCAAGAAGGACCTCCTGCCTATAGTATAATAACCATTATATTAAGATAATATTTCTTGAGATTATTTTTATCATCCGGAAGTTTTAATATGTAAAAAGAAAAAGACGGTCATGTATTATAAATTCACTGATTAGATATATATACATAAAAGTAACTTTTTATATCTCCACTATTTCTTGGGAAAATGTTGAAAAGTATTCTTTTGGGTTAATATGATATCGAAACTAGTGATAAAAAACCTAATTTTGTCAAATTTTCTTGACGGGACCACGCGCTTTTCTCAATTAACATTGAATACTTGTCATATAGTTAAAAAGTTGTTACTAAAATATAGATTGTGACGTTCTCAAACAACTAAAAATATCCCAGTTATTTTTCTTTTCAAACTTAGGTTCGCATGTTTGATAAAGCGGCTATTCAAAGTTGACATTAAAACTGAAAACAGTGTTTGTAATGAATAAAAGAAAAATGGAGCATACCAAAGTGACAGATTGTTGAGCTGCAATGGTGAGCATATCTGCGCACGAAACGGTTCTTGGGCATGCCCTCTCCACCGCGGCTTTCATTCTATCAATCACAGGAAATCCTCGAGCCGAATTTGCGTTTCCAAAGGCATCTTTCTCTGTTCGAAATGATGTCGTGTTGTCTAACAAGATGGATGCGTCACAGCCCTTTACCATAGTAAAAACTTTTTGTCATTGATCACTAAAATCATTTGTTCTTCTGAAGCAAGTAACCAGTGAAGGTTATATATCTATGTAATGAAAACAAAGTGATCAGAAACATTTGAACTCAATAGAAAATAAAACACTTTTCAACAAAAATATTTTGTATATTGATGAATATTTATACATAATCACATTAAAATATTGAAACTAATCAAAATTGAATTGAATAATAGAAATTAATAATCATGATTTTTGATTGATTTGAAAAATATCTTTTTAATATATATATATATATCCCTCAACAAAATATAAATGATTGATGGATCTTAAATTTCTATCGTGTTTGGTACGGCACCATGCAATTCAAACACGGATACTTCATTTTCGTGAAGCCGATTGCATAAATGTTTTGGCATCATCATAGTGTAAGAAATTAATAACTAACCAGTAACATCACTGTCGACGAGTAGTATTAATTTTCAATATAGAAAACGTAAAGTAGCAACAAATGACATCGAACTACGTGAAATTTAGGCTTTAGTGCAAAAATTTAGTCATTAACTAAGAGTCTAAAGACATTTATTATCACTTTTTTTTTTCTACTTTTACACAGATTTATTAATATTTAAAAGATGAACCACAGTAATCCGCAACGCTATAGATATATGAAAAGTAATATCTTACATTAACAAAGCAGTCGTGGAAGTGAAGACGAAGGATGCTCGCAGCGATACGAGGGTCCGACCTTAACTCATTTACAATGGTTTCTCGTACGATGTTAGTGACGTTAGGACATGAACTATCGTAGAAGGTAGGGGTAAGTTGAGCATAGGACAAAGATGAATGAAGCAAAAGACATCCCAATGTGATTATGGTTGTCCAAGTGAACGATGTAGAAGACGAAGATAAATGCATTTTTGAAAGAGGAAAAAAAAATCTATTTGATTCTGTTTATCCGAGAAGATGAGGAAAGTCCATATCTTGAAGAATCCTTTTATAGGCAAAACGGGTCAAACCTGGAGGCATTTTTTTCTCAATTGAAGGCTTTTCTCTAGAACAGCAAACGAATGGTTTATTTTTGTCAATTATTTCAACTAGCTATACATATAAATGAGGTATTATCCCACGCTATCTACATGGGAAGTAAGAAAAAAAAACATCTAAAACCTTAAATGTCAGTTTATATATTGGTATAAGTTAAATTAATTTTTTTTTAACAACAGTTTAAAATTTATCTCTATACATATTTACTATGCACTGTCAAAAACTTAAGTATTCAAGATAAATTGAAGAATAATATATGTATTTTGCATTTGACTGTAAAATATAACCAAGATGAAAAATGCATGTACAAGTATAGTAAGATTAATATCTAGAGTATATTCGTCTGTTCATACATATATCCATGCGCACGATAATTAATCCGCAAAATACATATCTTGTTTTCAAATTATCTTAAATCCTTCTTCGCTCTTTACAACTAATGTGGAACACGAATTTTGCATTTAATATATAGAACACATATGATATGTATATATATTATTTCAGAAACGGACAATACCAATCAAGACTCCTCCAAATATGAATTTATTCTTAAAATGGGAAATTATTTTATGAAACTCCCATATAGAATTTATTCTTAAATTTCTTTAAAGAAATGATATTTCAACTCGTCTTCAATTTTGGTGAGAATAAAAAAATTTCAGGGACGCAAATGTACTACAAATTTACAAGATTTTCTCTGTTTCGCACAGTTTACATCAGATTAAAATGACATGTAAAACGTAATGTAAGGGTTTCTATTTCTAATAGATATTCTCCGTGATAGAGTCAGATACCTTACAAAAAATTTAGCGTTTGGATGAGTTTCATAAAAATATATAATGACTCGTGGAAATCCAAACCCTGAAAAACATCTTTACGATGAAACCTCCAAAAAAATATTGCATTAAAACTTAATTCAGAAGAAATCCATAATAATTTTAAGAAAATAAAATAACTCCTTGACGACCTTTCAAAATCTCTTGGTCGTCTCCCGCTAAAAGACAAACAAAAATCAACATCGCCAATAGCTTTTTTTTTCGTTCCTTTTTCTCTCTCTCTATTTTAAAATAAGATCAGCCTCGTGTCCGCCACGTTATTCACCTACACTCAAACGGTGCCCTCTTCCTTTGCTCAAGTTCCTCATGATCTCTTTGGATAAAGAGATAAGGAATTTAAAGTGGAGATTATAAGTTATTTATCTCACTAGAATTATTATATATTGGTTCTGACATTATGATGTATCTTTTGTTCATCCTAAAATATTATCTGGTTATAGAATTAACATAATGTTAGCATTTACAAAATGTAAAGTTTCATACACCAACTCTTATATATAAACAAAATAAAATCAAAATTTAAATATGTTTGTACAAGAATATAAATGTACATATGTAAATATGTAAATTAAGGAGATCTAGAGACTATTTCACTGTTCACATATATGTAAATATTTTAGACTTTACGGGTTCACTTAGTTATCGGATTTATAACCGGAAATAAACGTTATTATTTTGTGACTTCCGGTTAGGTTCATAGCTGCAGAAACTCCATAGCTAATCATGATACTTTGCTTTAAAGACAAACTAATAACGAGATCGAATATGAACGGTGTCGTTTTCTGCTGGCAAGGCTGATGCAATAATTGTCGTTAAAGATAAAACCAAAAAAAAAAAAAATCAAACGAGATTTTACGTATACACGTATAGCGACTTAATTATTAGAATATAGGCTTTCAACTCAAAACTAATTGGCAATGAGTGGAGTGGCCCATATATCTTATATACTAGTTAAGATCTCTTGTCCTTTCCAATGTGAGATAATATTATCCCTAATACGCCCCCTCAAGATGATGGCTCTAGCCATTGATCTCGGTATGCTCGGGTATGGATCGGCGGACCAACTATTGGGCCAGGCCGATGGTGGATTGGATTAGACATGTACGGATCGGGCTCTGATACAATATTAGAATATGGGTTTCCAACTCAAAACCAATTGGCAATGAATGGAGTGGCTCATATATCTTATATACTAGTCAAGATTCCTTGTCATTTCCAATGTGGGATAATATTATCCATAATATTAATATCCTCACCGCATGCACATCAACAAGATTAGCTGCTTTAACAAAAAAAAAAAAACAAGAGTAGCTGTCTAATCTATCTGAAATATATGATTCAACCACATGAAATTGTCTCCATTTGGGGCCCAATTCCCTTGTGAAAAATCTCTCAAGATCTCTGATATTTTATTGTGAAAATATGGAAAAGATAACAAGAAAAAAGCCACGTGAGTTAATCGTAAGAGGAGAGTAGCAACAACACACAATCCTCAATTATAGAAGAGTCACGTTAACATCTTCGGGACGACCCACAGATCCAACAAAAGTAGACTTTAGCAGCCGCGGTACCAACCCTAGCCTTTAAGTCGTTTGCATGCATCACCCATAATAATGTGTATTATCATCAAATAAAGTCATAAATCTTAGTAGTTTGTCAAAAAAAAAAAAAAAAAAAAAAAAAACTACAGTCTACAGATGGTAAACGAAAACAAAAATGAAATTAAGGAACTTAATTGTGTTAGCTTCTATATTTGATACATTAACCAGCAAAAGTACATATTCTTTTTTCATATAGAAAGGAAATAAACCAAAATAAAATGTACTATGAAAAAATAACGTAATAATATATTTATATATACAATAAAGACACAATATAGTTTAAATGAATTTTTTTTTTTTTTTTTTTTTTTTTTTTTTTTTTTTTTAATCACATAAACTCTATGTGATTATGTGACCGAAGGCAGCCAATTATTTTCATACAACGTAAAACCGAAAAGTTAGCTCGAATTCCACTAAGGCACTAATACACGGAAAAAGAAAAAGAAGAAAAAAGGCGGAAAACGTTTGATAAATGTGACCAAGGAAAGCCACTACTTTTACACATTCAACATAATTGAATGCAAGGAAAAGTCCTAAAAATGACACCAACTTTATATAAAATTCAAGAAAAATACACGAAATATTTGAGAGCCCAAAAATGAATATACAGACAACATTTCTGTTCCAGATGCTGCACTAACAAATTGACTTCTACGGTGGTGAAATATGATTAGTTACCAAATAAAATCAAACAATAGAAACTAAACCAAGGTTATTATTGAAACTTAAAAACGTATTTATAGTATACAACACATATGTTATATATTGCAGAATAACGATTGACAATAAATTTCAAAACCAAAATATTACGATTGTATAAACGCACCCATCACTATGGTTGGGCCGTCACTCATCAGGGAATTCTTCTTTCAATAGAATCTTCGAGAATTACATTACATCCCCTGGCCTGGAAGCTAAATTAACCCTCAGATTACTGTTTGCAGCATCATACGATATGAAAAATCTGAACATAAACAAACAAGAGACACTGATTGCAAGTGAAAGACCTTGACATTAATTTTCAACGCCAGACTTTCCATGTAATAATCCATGGGTTCCAAAGCTTTTGTAGGTCGACAACATTGGGAGACTATCCCCTAGCTCTATTTCACAGATACTTTTAATTGTTCATGCATGCAAAATAAGAGTCTTGTTGGAATGATTTACATCAAATGTTGTTTGGATGATTTACATCAAATGACAACATTGGGAGACTATCCCTACCCATTGAATCTTTCCAAATTAGACCTACAACATTGAACTAGTGAGTATCCTTCTAATATATTTCCAACATTCAAACGTGCAACGCAAATACTCCTTGGAACTGGTGGTTGAAGATTTCCAAGAGACATCGCCATATATATCTCTTTGAACCCGAGAATAAATTATTTATTCTTAAACCACATCTCACCTTGTCGAGAAATTTGTAGCAATATGCCTTTGTTATTTCTTTGTACAATAAAGCAAGGGCGAGATACTTTTTGGTGATTTTTGAGTTCTCTGGTCCAACAAAATTCGGCGTGCATGTTTCACCTATAACATAACCATTTCAAAACCTGATGAACTTCTGTAATATCCAGAACCAAATTCTTCTTTTTCCCTATTAACATTGTGCACATGTTCCTTTTGACATGTATAGTTGTGAGTTTTTTTTTATGTTATGCATTTCTAACAAATACAATATTTGATCTAGATGTACTTAGCTTCTTTGTTAACTCGTACCAATATTCTTCTTATCTGGTCTCTATATGCTCAAAATCTTTATATGGATTATTTGATACACCATTGAGCACCTAGTGTTATTCAAGTTCTCCAGAAGTTCATTCTTTGAACAGCTTAGGATTTTTCTTTTCTTAAGATTCTTTTAAGCTTTGCTACATAATGAACTTTGTGATTCTCATTTTTGAACACACATAGACTCTTCTAAATTCCAGCAAGCTTCATTTGTAACTTACGCGATTCATCTTTCTCATCAGTTAACTTTTTATGAAGCTTCCCTATCTAAGTTTCTAGCCCCATCTTCTCCCCTCCAATGCTAGGTTTTCTCTACTGATCTTAATTTCATTTTCATGACGGCCTCTCAGCTTGAAAGTCCACCTCATGATAGCCTTCTGAATCGCTTCCACCAGAATTATTGTGTGTTCCAATAGACTCGCCAGACTCATATTTGTCGCTTCCTTCTTTAGAGGTATCATAAATCCATACAAGGCCACAAGGTTAGATACGTTTTATACTTTCTTTCTTTTTTGTAATATACGTTTTATTCTTTATCTGACTATCACTACAATCTTGAACCGTATTCATCAATCACTTTTTAAAAAATATTAAGAGCAAGTCCAATGGTAAAGTTCTTAAAAGGACTCTTAAACATTTTTTATTATAAATTGTGATAATTTTATAATTAAGAGTTTGTGTTGAATCCTTAAAATTTTCATTGTCCAATGGTAGAGTCCTTAAATGAGTTTCTTAAAAAAAAAAATTATTTTTAAAATGAAAATTATAAACATTTTTATTTGATAAAACTTAATAATTATTATAATTTTCTAAAATTTTAAACATACAAAACATAAAAGCATATAAAAAATATAAATCAAAAACCGGAATAACGATTAGTCGTTAGCTTAATTCGTGCCAAATTTATGCCATATATGAATCTGAGTCTTAGTAAAACTTCATTCACAAAAACAAGACTTTAGCATTTAAACAAGAAAAAAAGGATAAAATTTTGCAAGACAGAAAAATAAGTGTCGCAGAATAACAAAAAACAAAAGATAAATTTATTTTTGGCTTCTATATTTTTTCTTCACCCAATCACAAAACAACACAACATGAGTCCTTAACAAATCCTAAAACTCTAAACTAAGAAACAATTCTTAAGCTAAGAAACTATAGTATCTTGTTTTCATTAATTTTAATGATTTTTTAAGCTAAGGATTTCTTAAGAACTTCACTAAGAAACACCATTAGACTTGAGGTTCTTTGCAAGTTCACACATTCTTCTTTTACATATGTTACTAAAGAAATGGAGCCGTAAAATAAAATATTTTCAAATAACATAAAGCATTTATTTTGTCATCATTAATAGGATAAAACAGTCCAAACCCATAGAAGCTTAGAGCATGTACATGGGTGATACCCATTTAGTATCATTAGGAATTTTTTAGTATTATTTATAATGTTTGTTTATTGTTTGAGATTTTTTATGATACTCCTACTAAATATGTTTGCATTGGTGAGACCGGTTTAAGTATCATAAAAAAAAAAAATTGCAAAATCAAAAATTATGATAAAAATGTAATATTACAATAAAAAAAACGTAGAATATAAAGCAAAATAAAACATAAAATTCAAAAAAAGTGAAAAAAACATGATGATAAAAATAATTTAGTCGCTTGTAGTCAATTACCTTGGCCCCATTTTTGCCAAATATGTTCAATCAAATCTTCTTTCAATTGTCGATGTGTTTGTTCATGACGTATTTGAGCTCGATTGGCCATCAAATTGTTCACATTTGTAGCTGTCTCTGTAGAAAAAGAGTTATCTACTTGAGAAGTCCCGCTTCCTTCGCCTTCTACGAAATCAGATAAATCGAACTGAGTATCTTCGTCTCGTTCATCTTCTACAATCATATTGTGCAATATGATACATGCTCTCATTATCTTGCCCATTCGCTCTTTATCCCAAAACAGACCTGGGTTTCGAATAATAGCAAACCGAGCCTGCAAGACTCCAAAAGCACGCTCGACATCTTTTCTCACTGCTTCTTGACAACTAGCAAATAATGATGCTTTCGGTCCTTGTGGGCGGGTAATTGATTGGATGAATGTTGCCCACTTCGGATATATACCATCTGTGAGGTAATAACCCATTTTGTATTGATGTCCACTGACTTCGTACGTGAGTCGTGGAGCTCGACCTTCTAATATATCATCAAACACCGGTGAGCGGTCAAGAACATTTATATCATTACACGTACCTGGAGCCCCAAAAAAAGCATGCCAAATCCATAAATCTTGTGATGCCACGGCCTCTAAAACAATAGTGGGTTTTCCATGTCCGCGTGAATACTGTCCTTTCCAAGCCGTAGGACAATTCTTCCACTCCCAATGCATACAGTCAATGCTTCCTACCATTCCCGGAAATCCGCGTTCCTTTCCAGAATGAAGTAATCGTTCTAGATCCTCACGTGTAGGCCGCCTCAAATATTCATCTTGGAATAAATTTATTATGCCATCTACAAAATTCTCTAGTGCTTGGCTCACAGTGGTTGCGCCCATGCGGAGGTATTCGTCCATCGCATCGTTTGCAAGACCATATGCCAGACGCCTAATTGCGGCAGTACATTTCTGTAGGGCAGATAGACCTTGCTTCCCAGTAGCATCCTCCCTTTGTTGGAAATATGGAAATTGAGAAAGACTTTGAACAATACGAACGAACAACGGCTTGGTCATTCGAAATCGCCGTCGGAACATGCGATCATGGTAAACGGGGTCATCCGAAAAGTAATCGTTCCATAATCGAATATTTCCTTCTTCCCGATCTCTCTCTATATTAGCAGCCCTTTTTTTCTTTTTTTTTCCCGCTATACGTCTACTGTAATTATCTAAACCATCTTCAAAACAATTTTCAATCCTTTCCTCTATAATATCATCAAAAGAGTCATGATCATGAGAATGTGATGCCATTACTTTTTAAGAAGCAAAACGTACAAAAAATAAAAAGAGATTTGTGTTTTGAAAAGGAAAACAATTGAAAGAGAATTGGTTTTAGAGAAGGAAAACAAATAAAAGAGACTTGTTTATAGAGAAAGAAAACAAAGAAATATTTTTAGAGAAAGCAAACAAATAAAAGAGACTTGTTTTTAGAGAAATAGAAGAAAGACTTGTTTTTAGAGGAATATGAGAAAGAGAAAGAATCGTTATGAGAGTTGTATTGAGAAATATGAGAACACAAAGACATATATAATCAAATCATACGACATATTAAGTAAACAAAACAACTTAACTAATAACACATACCTAAAGACCAGAATATTCATTCTCAGAAACAAACACATTGCTTCCAGACAGATACTCTTTGATAAGAGTGTTCTTAAGTTCAATTTCCATCTCACTCAATCCATCAGACCTTCCAAGAAGGCTGTCAAGTAGCTTCTGCTTGGAGAGTCTCTCTTTGAAAGCCAAATCCTTCTCTTTCACTTCCCACAAAAGCTGAAGTTCAGCAGCAGAACTAGCGTCAGCTCCTCCTTCACTCTTTCCCTTACCTTTAGACTTGGCTAAAGCCTTGGCTGCCTTCACACCTATAGGCCTTTGGAGACTCTCTTCTTCTACAGATGAAAGTTTAGCTTTCTTCTTGGCAGGAAGTTTGGTCTCACACCAATTGCACCATTTCTGATCAGTCTTGAGGATTCTCCAAACATGCTCAAGACTGAATTTGTTTTTTTGATCTTGATGGTAAAGCTTGTAGGCCAGCACGATAATGTCATCTTCATTCTCTCCACTGCGAGGAGTCCGAGAGGCAAACTCATAACAGCCTGCAAACTTCATCACAAGCTCATTCATTTTTTGCCATTTCTGCTTACAAGTATTTGGCTCTCGGATGGTGAGCTTAGAGACAGTAGGACATGCAGCATAATATGCTGCAATCCTATCCCAAAAGGCTGCTGATCTCTGCTCATTCCCCACAACAGAGTCTTTGGATGTGTTGAGCCAGGCACTTGCAAGTGCCTTCTCTTCAGGAACACTCCATCTCACTCTAGACGCCCTAGCTAAGGATGTGGGTGTTTGGGATTCAGAAAAAGGAGGCTGTGAAGGACTGAGAGGCGTTGGGTTATCTTCTTGGCTAAACAAGAGATTGGTGAAGGATTGAGAGGAGGAATAGTTTAAGTTGGAAGCCATTTTGTGTTTTAGAAGAGTTTAAGTGGTTTGTTTAGTTCTCATTGTCGACATTATAAAGGAAAAGCCTCAATAAATAACAAACACAATACTAATTCAAGTCACTGAGACACTAGCCATCAACATAACTTTAATTTAGATGGCTAATGTCTCATCACCATTTTATTGAACTTTAAGTTTAAGTTCAGTTGCATTTAATTTTTTTTTCTGTTTAAATTCACTCCATCTCATCACCAACGCCACAAATACATTAAACTTCAGAAAAACTATTGTTAAAGAGATGACAATAAATTCACTATCTACTTTTTATGTATTCATTGATTCATTTAAAGACAACTACATTCTCAACCACATCTATCTAATCTCTATTAAATTAAAGTGGTCAGTTTCTATTTAATTTCATTGTTCCTAATCTCAATTCAATTCAATTTTACACACACAGTAATTAACAATTAAAGCAATTTAGGAGTGTACCTTTCACCTACGCATCTTCTCCACAACAATTGCACCATGAAGACATTCAGTAGTATCTTCACTTTCCTGCAAATATCAACAGACACATGGATGATGTCAATGACTGATATAAAGAAAATACAAAGTTGTTTGAAAAGAATTTTAAGACTATCAAATCAAATATGTTAAACAAATACAACTAGTTTTAGTACTAGTAAAACACAATTCATAAGTGAAATAAGTGATCAACAAACAGAAAAATTTATCACCTCATCCTCAGAATCATCATCTGAGTCCTCATCAGAGGATGAATCATCTTCAGACGAACTCTCAGACCTTGGCCTTTTTAGCAGCAGCCGCAGCATGCTTCTTGGTTGCAGCCTTCTTGGCTGGAACTTTCTTAGCCTGTCAGATGTATTAAAGCTGATTAGAAATAACTCAATTCACATGCTCAAACCAACAAAAATAAATTAAGACAGTAAAAGTTATACCTTCTCATCTTCCTCAGATTCAGAATCTGATGAATCAGAGCTCTCAACCTTCTTAGTCACCTTCTTCACAGCTTTTTACTTTTGTACAGCAGCAATCACGTCTTCCTTCTGCTTCTTAAGACTCACTTTAGTATCAACATCATCTTAAGGCTCCCTCTTACCTAAAGAGAAGCAGCAAACAAAGTTTTTATCAATAAAACGTTCAATCTCATCATTAAAGGTTTTGAATTCATGATTGAAATATACTACAGAGATAGACAAATAACACCTATCGAATTCTAAGACCTATATTCCCAAACCAATCTTACGGGTTCATGAGACAAACAAATTACACAAATACTTCCATCAGACATATCAGAAGGAGAAACATAGATATAAAAATGCAAACTTTCAAGACCAAACTCGTTATGTAACAGAGAAAGACAAGACCAAAGCATTTAAGGTAAAAGGGAACCAAAGTTCATACCTTTCAAAGGCTTATTACTGGCCTTAACAGCAGAAGGAGCGGAGGAGAGGAGAGAAGCACAAATCAAAGCTCGTTAGGATCGGCGGAGGTGAGGAGAAATCGAAAATCGCCCGAGGAAATGTGAAATAGAATCGAGGAGATGAAGCCGGAGAAGAAACGGAGAGGTGAAATAGAATCGAAGAGATGAAACCGGAGATGAAACCGGAGAAGAATCGGAGGGAGCGGAGGCAGGAGATCGGCGGAGGAGAAGAAATCGTTTTCTCCATCGCGTTTCTAGGGTTAGCGAGAAAAGAAGAATGAGAATTTTTTTTTTTTTTTTTTCCTGTTTTTAGAAAAAGAAACGCGTTTTCGGAACCAATAAGAAGCCGCCACGTCAATGATACTGGGTATCAAAAGTCTCACCCCAGTGATACGGATCAAGCCCAAAAATTGTGTCTGATCCATTAAAAAAATATATTTGGGCTTTTGATACTCTATTTGTTTCATCGGTGTACATGGTCTTAGACCGATTCACAAAACGCTTTCAAGGCCAATATCAAACATATATATAAAAACAAAAAAAAAATACATAAAAAAAAAAAAAAAAAAAAACAAAACAAAACCAGAGAACTACTTAGACACTATACACACCAATCTGCTCCTGCTCAAGTTTCATCTTGAGAGCCGCTTATTCATCTTAACATATATAGTCTGGTCGCCAGATATTGAGTTAACTATTCTCACATAGAGCTTACAAAGTCAACTATCTCCACCACATCATGGAGTAGAGAGTTGGAGTTCACCACTCTACAATTCAACCTGATTTGTCCTTGAGATCCTGTAGTAGGTGTAATGTTTCCCATCCTATTCATTGCCTCCACAAACGCATCAAAGAATTTTTCTGTGCCATCAGCAAATGATCTCACCAAGGGGATCGTGTCTGTGGCATTGGGGCTAGAGAACAACTCTTGATCGCTTTGGATAAGACCTTTTTGCTCTTTGAGATTCACATAGTATTTGTTGTCGAAAACTAAAGGCGTACGCAGATCGAAATCCACTAAGACACTCTGATTACCATTGCGAGGACATTGTCCACGAAGAGTTTGTAGGTAAGTCGTGTTGAGTGTAGGGTCAGGTAATCCGGTGTTGCTAAAGTTGTATAATCGGTCCATAATAAATCGACATTGATTTTTACCAAATGTGTGAGCCCCTAACAAAAGAAAGACCATATATAATTAGATCAACAATTAACTCGCTAATTACAAATATATCAAATGGGGTTTATTTTCCTTTTGTTAATTACCGGAGAGAGCAACAAGATCAGAAGGACGATCGAGGCCAACTTTTTTGAAGTTGGCTTTAAGCTCTGGAAGTGTGAAGAATGGAGCTGGGAGATTTGCATTAGCGAGATTTAGAAATGCTTGTAAGCTGTCTCTTCTCCCCAAAGAAACCTTCCAAGAAGGACCTCCTGCCTATAGTATAATAACACCATTATATTCAAAATAATATTTACTTTTGTAGAAAAAAAAATATCACACTCAAAACTCAGAAGGAAAGTTTTTTAGTCTCCACTGTTTCTTGAAAAAATGTTTGTAATGAATAAAAGAAGATGGGAGAATGGAGCATACCAAAGTGACAGATTGTTGAGCTGCAATGGTGAGCATATCTGCGCACGAAACGGTTCTTGGGCATGCCCTCTCTACCGCGGCTTTCATTCTGTCAATCACGGGAAATCCCCGAGCTGAATTTGCATTTCCAAGCGCATCTTTCTCTGTCTGAAATGATGTCGTGTTGTCTAACAAGATTGACGCATCACAACCCTTTCAAAAGACCAAAATATATTTAAGAAATTATTAGTCAATGTACTACACTCATAGTTAAATCTTACCAAAGGTAACAATTTAACGTTGAACTTTTTTCATCCATGAAAACCATTTGTTCCTCTGAGGCAAGTAATGAGTAAAGGTTATATATCTATATAATTAATGAAAACAATATGAGGAGAGATTAACTCCTCTAACCCATTTCAACTCACTAAAATAAATATTCAATAAAAATATTTTTATATTATCAAAATATGTATACATAATCACTTTAAAATATTAAAAGTAAATAACAAATTTAATAAAATAATAGAAATAAATATTCTTGAAAAAATAGTAGCACATTGGTTGAAAACTGAGGCAATCTTTTTAAAAATCTGTATAAGATCTCACTTTGGTATTTATGATCTTGTAAAATTTCAATAGACTATTAAGAAAATCTTATACTAACTGCATAGTGTGTCATATATGAAAAGTGATATCTTACATTAACAAAGCAGTCGTGGAAGTGAAGACGAAGGATGCTCCCGGCGATACGAGGGTCCGATCTTAGCTCGTTCATGTTAAAGCCTCATCATCAACTGGGCCAGCTCACAACAACAAAGCCCAAGAGCAGTCCAAGGTTCAGTCAGTCAAAGCTCCAACGGTAATGTTGACTGAAAGCAGAGCAAGCTCACGCCAAAGCAATGGGAAGAAGACGACAGAGACAGCTCATCCAATGCAACTCTCAAATAGATTCGCATCTCTATTGGATCTAGAGTCATAGCTGTCACCTGACACCTCATCAAAGATCTAGATAGTTCTTCCTGTCTATATAAAAGTGAGAGCTTGTACTAGGGTTTTTCAATGAGATAATAATATGAAAGCTTGAGTATTTCTCTCTTCTTTATCTCTGTCAAGAGTAAAACTACATGGTATCAGAGCCATGGCGGCACAACCTTCTGCTGTCACTACAGCTACTCTTTCTATTTCTCAGTGTGTCACACTCAAGCTAAATGATACAAATTACTTGTCTTGGAAACTTCAGTTTGAGCAGTTTCTCAACAGTCAGTTGCTTCTGGGCTATGTCACAGGTGCTTTGGCTCGTCCTCCTCCTACGGTGGTTGTCAGAAATGGAGAACAAGTCACAGAGGCCAACAATCCAGAGTTTCTCAAATGGATGCAGACCGATCAACTCATTATGGCGTGGATCTTTGGATCTCTGTCTGAAGACACTCTCAAAAGTGTCTACGGTCTCAGATCTTCGCAGGAGGTATGGTTTTATCTCGCTAAGAAGTATAACCGGGTTTCAGCTACTAGAAAACTTGACATTCAGAGGAAGATTCAGACTACCACTAAAGGAACCAGATCTCTGGCTCAGTACTTGTCAGAAATCAAAGCACTCTGTGATCAACTAGACTCGATTGGTGCTCCTATTTCTGAACAAGAGAAAATCTATGGTGTCTTGTCTGGTGTTGGTAGGGAATATGAGTCTATAGTCACAGTTATTGAGGAATCGATGGATCTTCCAACAAGTCCTAGTTTCGAAGATGTGCTTTACAAGCTCACCAACTTTGATGACAAGCTGCAGAAGTATGAAACTCCACCAGAAGTGAATCCTCATCAAGCCTTCTATACTGCTATGGAAGAAAACTCACACAAAGCTTTCTATACTGCTAAAGGAGGCTACTCTGGTAGAGGAAGAGGTCAAAACAGGGGTGGTTCACGAGGTCACAGCTCCTATACCACTCAAGGCCGAGGCTTTCCGCAACAATTTGGTCAAGGAAGCAACAAAAACAATTATGGAGCCAATGATCAACGTCCAACTTGCCAGATATGCGGAAAATACGGTCATGCTGCTTATAAGTGCTATAAAAGGTTCGATGAAAATTTTCAGACTGAAGTAGAGACCTTTCCTCAAGCAATGGCGGCTATGAAACTGAATGATTCACCTCAGTATCCTGGAGGAGGCTGGTATCCTGACTCAGCAGCAACTCACCACATCACGAATACTCCTGCAAATCTGAATGTTAGTCAGCCATATGATGGAACAGAAGCTGTCATAGTGGGGAATGGTGACTTTTTGCCTATCACTCATGTTGGATCAATCAACCTTCCAGGTATCACTGGCACTTTACCTCTTAAGGATGTGTTAGTATGTCCAGAAATAGCAAAATCTTTATTGTCAGTGTCTAAGTTGACAGATGATTATCCCTGTAAGTTTGAGTTTGACTCTGAATCTGTGTGTGTTAAGGACAAAGTGACAAATCAAGTTCTAAGTCAGGGAAGCAAAATCAAAGGCTTGTATAAGTTGGAGAATCCTCAATTCTTGGCGTTCTATTCATCCAGACAACAGACTACCAGTGATGTAATTTGGCACAAGAGATTGGGGCATCCTCATCATCAAGTTATGCAACACCTATCTTCAGTTAATGCTATTTCATTCAATAAGACTACTAAGTCAATGTGTGAAGCGTGTCAGTTGGGAAAGACATGCAAGCTACCTTTTTCAAGATCAGAGTTTCAAGCAAGCCAACCACTTGAGAGGATACATTGTGATGTTTGGGGTCCTGCACCAGTCACTTCAGTTCAGGGTTTCAGATTTTACATTGTATTCATAGACAATTACTCAAGATTTTGTTGGTTATTTCCTCTAAAGTTGAAATCTGATGTTTTTGAAGTTTTTAAGAGCTTTCAAACACTTGTGGAAAATCAGTTTAATCACAAAATCAAGATTTTTCAAAGTGATGGTGGAGGAGAATTTGTCAATAGACCACTACATGATCACTTCAAAGTCTGTGGTATTCAACACTTCATTTCATGCCCTCATACTCCTCAACAAAATGGACTTGCAGAAAGAAAGCATAGACATATAATGGAGTTAGGTATGTCAATGTTGTTTCACAGTCATCTTCTACAAAATCTCTGGGTAGATGCTGTCTTTACTGCAAATTTCTTGAGTAATCTCTTGCCAACTTCCTCACATGAAAAGATGCAGAGTCCTTTTGAAGTTTTGAATGGTACTCGCCCAGTCTATACTGCACTAAGAGTCTTTGGGTGTGCGTGTTATCCATACTTAAGACCGTATAGTGAAAATAAGTTTGATCCCAAGTCATTGCTGTGTGTTTTCCTTGGCTATACAGAGAAGTATAAAGGGTATCGATGTCTTCATCCTCCAACAGGTCGAGTTTACATTAGTAGACATGTACTCTTTGATGAAACAAGATTTCCGTATACTGATACTTACAAGAATCTACTGTCTGCTGCAACTACTCCTCTGCTACATGCATGGTCATTGGGTACAGCTCAGAGAATCGAAGAGTGTCTGCAAGACAGAACAGTGGAAGAAGAGTTGGTGTATACTCCTACAGAACAAGAAACAGTGACACCACCACATCAAGAGGTTACAGAATCTGAGCACCACTCACCACAACAACAATCTCAACAACAAAGCTGTGTCAATTCTGAGGATTTACAGTCAGATACTTCTCAAGCTGCACCCACACATCCCATGATCACCAGAGGGAAGCACGGGATTCATAAACCAAATCCTAGGTATGTCTTATTCACTATAAAAGGGATACCAGAGGAGCCAAAATCAATTCAAGAAGCTCTAAGTCATCCGGGATGGACAGCAGCTTGTGAAGAAGAGATAGAAACTTGTCATGCTACCAACACTTGGAGTCTGGTTCCCAGAACCCCAGACATAAATCTCTTGGGTTGCAGATGGATATTCAAAACAAAACTAAATGCTGATGGGACGTTGGATAAACTCAGAGCAAGATTAGTAGCAAAAGGGTATGAACAGGAAGAAGGCATTGACTTTCTGGAAACCTACAGTCCTGTAGTAAGGACAGCTACAATAAGAATGGTGTTACACACAGCAGTAACTGAAAGATGGGATATTAAACAGTTAGATGTGAAGAATGCATTTTTACATGGGGAATTGCAGGAAACAGTTTACATGAGGCAACCACCTGGCTTTGAAGATTCAGAGAAACCAGATCATGTGTGTTTGCTTCATAAAGCCATTTATGGCCTTAAACAGGCACCAAGGGCCTGGTTCGACAAATTCAGTTCATATTTGATTGAGTTTGGGTTCAAATGCAGCCAAAGAGATCCATCTTTGTTCATCTTTCAACAAGACCAGAGTGTGTTGTTGTTGCTCATGTATGTGGATGATATGGTTCTAACTGGAAATGATTCAAGCCTAGTTTCAAAGCTTCTAAGTAAGCTGAATGAAAAGTTTATGATGAAAGATATGGGTCCTCTCAAGTATTTTCTGGGAATTCAAGCTCAGTTCACACCAACAGGTCTATTCATGAATCAAGAAAAATATGCTCTGGATCTTCTTCAAACTGCAGGTATGTTGGACTGTGCTCCAATGCCTACACCACTTCCTGTTCAGCTAGACAGACTGCCTCATCAAGATAAAATTTTTGAAGATCCAACCTATTTCAGAAGATTGGCAGGTAAATTGCAGTACCTGACCTTAACAAGACCTGATATTCAATATGCAGTAAACTTCGTTTGTCAGAAGATGCATAAACCATCAGTGTCAGATTTCAATCTCTTGAAAAGAGTTCTCAGATACTTGAAAGGAACAGTAAAGATGGGACTGATGCTCACTTCAGAAACTGATTCAACTCTTCGAGCATATAGTGACAGTGATCATGCGGGTTGCAAAGAAACAAGGAGGTCTACTGGAGGTTTTTGCACGTTTCTCGGGTCTAACATCATATCCTGGTCTGCAAAACGGCAGGATTCAGTAGCAAGATCTTCAACTGAAGCTGAATACAGAATCCTCTCAGATACTGCTGCAGAAGTGTCTTGGCTCACTGCTCTGGTTCAAGAAATAGGACTGCCACAAGAGAAACCTCCTGAAATTTATTGTGACAATCTTTCTGCAGTCTACTTGGCAGCAAACCCGGTTCTGCATACAAGAAGTAAACACTTTGCCACTCACTTTCACTATGCAAGAGAGATGGTAGCTAAAGGAACACTGGTCATCAAGCACATTCCTGGGACACTGCAACTCGCTGACATATTTACAAAGCCTCTGCCACAAGCCAGCTTCTTTGACCTCAGATTCAAACTCGGAGTTGACTTTCCACCCACCTCGAGTTTGCGGGGGAATGTTAAAGCCTCATCATCAACTGGGCCAGCTCACAACAACAAAGCCCAAGAGCAGTCCAAGGTTCAGTCAGTCAAAGCTCCAACGGTAATGTTGACTGAAAGCAGAGCAAGCTCACGCCAAAGCAATGGGAAGAAGACGACAGAGACAGCTCATCCAATGCAACTCTCAAATAGATTCGCATCTCTATTGGATCTAGAGTCATAGCTGTCACCTGACACCTCATCAAAGATCTAGATAGTTCTTCCTGTCTATATAAAAGTGAGAGCTTGTACTAGGGTTTTTCAATGAGATAATAATATGAAAGTTTGAGTATTTCTCTCTTCTTTATCTCTGTCAAGAGTAAAACTACAGTTCACAATGGTATCTCTTACAATGTTGGTGACGTTAGGACATGAAGTGTCGTAGAAGGTAGGGGTAAGTTGAGCATCGGACAGAGACGCACGAAGCATAAGACATCCCAATGTGATTAAGATTGTCCAAGTGAATGAAGAGAACTGCATTTTTCACAAGGAAAATGAAAAGTATTTAATTGGGTTTAATGGAGAAGATGAGTAAGGTCCATATCTTAAAGAATCCTTTTATAGGCAAAACGGGTCAAACGTGGAGGCCTTTTTTTTTCTCAATGGAAGGCTTTTCGCTCGAAGTATAAGTATGTATATGGAAAGTAAAAATTATTTATGTTTTGAAATTTTAAAAATACAAATTTACTATCCACTGTAAAAAAATTAAGTATTCAAGATAATTTTAAGAAAAATAAAATAACTCTTCAACGACCTTTGGAAATCTCTTGGTCGTCACTCGCTAAAACACAAAACCAATAATTAACATGGCCAATAAAAGATCACCCTCGTGTCCGACACGTTCTTCACCTTCACTCCTAAACGGTTCCCTCTTCCTTTTCTCATAATTGGATGATGAGGTTATGAATGTAAAATATTAATATTAACATTCAGAAATTAAAATCTGTGATGTAAAATATGTAATATACACATTTGATTGCAAAAAATAATAGTTCACATAAAAGTAGCTAAATGTTTGTATCACGTTTTGTGGAAAATATATATGTATCGTAATCGAATCAATCCATACTAAGATAAATGTTTTTTGTTCAGGTTACTTTCGTTTCGAAAAGTTTTAAGCGTAGATCTGTATGTTTTCATCGGGATCAAATCCTTCCCAATTAGATTCAAACTCATATACCATAGTTTTCACTCTTTTTAAGAGGTCTCACGATCCACTAGTCCAAAAGCTGCTATGTAGTAAGATAAATGTTGCTATGTTTGAAATCCAAAAACTGAAAAACCTAAATTAAATGAATTTCTGTCCGATTTTATTTTTTTGCTAAAGATTTCTGTCCGATTTGAATGTCCCTAGTTCAAAAGTATGAAAAAAAAAAAAAAAAAGTATGGACCAGATATCGACTGTGAAGCTAGTCTCCTATGTACAACGCCTACAACTATTTGTGCCTATGTGAAGAAAACTTATCATTTTGTGACTTCCGCTTAATTTGGCTCATGGGTAATGAGACTTTGTTTCGACGACGATTAATAACGTACATGATCGAATACGATCGGTGTCGTTTTCTGCTTGCAGGGCTGCGGCAATAGTTGTCGTTAAAAATAAAACCTCACAAATAAATATTATTACGTACACTTATACTCGTATAGTGACTTAAGATCCTCACCGCACATAAAAAATGATTAGATATCTAATCTATCTGAAAGATACGATTCAGTCCACATGAAAGATACGAGTCTTTTTTCTTTTTCCGGCGAGTCTCCGGTGTACCGGTTTTGTTACTGGATTTCAATTTGTTGTAGGCCAAGGCCCAAGTCCATTTGGGTTGATTTTATATAAAATTTTTATTTAAAAAAAAAAAAAAAAAAGTTGTCTCCAATTGAGCCCAATTCGCTTTGAAAAAATCAGTTTTTTTTTTTTTTTTTTTTGTGAAAATAGGGAAAAAATAAGAAAAGGCCACGTGAGGGTTACTGTGAGAGAGTAGCAACAACAGTTAATCCAACAGATCCAACAAAAAGTAGACCCTCTTTTTTCTTCTTCTGAAAGTAGACTTTAGAATAGCAGCCATAATAATTTACCAACTTTGGCCTTCTAGTCATCCATAATAAGACTATCCGTCGTGTAACTGTGAGGGGGGTGTAAGATGTTTTTTATTATTATAATTTAAAGTAAGAAAAAAAAGAGAGAGAGAAAGAGAGAGAGTGTCTTACACCCGAATGTAAACTTACACCCGGGTGTGAAGAGAGAGACAACTTTTGCATTAAATCTTTTTTTTTTAATACTTACACCCCTTCCGAATGCACCACTGCATATGCTCTAATGTATTTGATTATTTAGGGAAATGTCCTAAAAAAACAACAACAACTTTACATATATTTCAAGAAAAATATACTAAATGTTTTAGACCCAAGAAAAAATTATATACTAGTCAACAATTTTGTCCATATCATGCATTTACAAGTTGAATTCTAAGTGGTCAAATAAAGTTGAACACCCGGACCAGAGGTGGCCTAGAATCTTATGTCAAAAGGACTATATATGATATTACCCAATTAATTCAAACAATGAAAATCAAACCAAGCTTATTATTGAAAATAAAATAAAAACATTTTTTTAAAAATAAAAACATATTTATACAACACATACGAAACACAGCCATAAATATATTAGTCATCGTCATATTGAGGATTTGAATTTTGAAACACACACAAAAAAACGCACAATGTGATGAATTAATGCGACAGAAGAAAACCGCTAATTTTTTTTTTTTTTTTTACCGCTAATTTCCACACAACATGAAACGGAGAAACTAAAAAAAACAACTTGCACTGTCGTAAAGTTCTGCTCAAATAGATATCTTGTTAAGGAATAAAGAAACCACGTGATGTTTCATCAACTCAGGATACGTGAAAATGTCTGTGTCTTTGTAGAAAACTTCGACGACCCTCGAGAGGTTTAGGAATCGCATGACGATAGGGAAAGGAAAAGAGTGATCTCTCGTCATAAGTTCTTGATTAAGACTCTTCCATGAATCCAATGCCATGATTTTGATCTCTTCTTCCGCGTTTTCCCATGAAATACCATATTGCTTCATATAACAATCAATGGATGTTCCTACGTGCTTTCTCTTATGTTCAAACTGCATTAGATAGATATCAGATTTTGAAATTATATTTTATACCAACGTTGTGACAAAAATTGTATTTGTATCTAGGGTGTCAACTACAGCTTAAGTTCTAAGGTCTGATATTATTCTCGAATACTACAAGGAATTGGAATTTTCTGACCATTTCCAACCAGTTTTAAGGTCGGGTTCATCCCAAGATTAACTAGGGTCTAACAATTTAGTCATAACCGTTTTTTTCTTTTTTTCCGGGATTAGGAAATCATTATGATTATTATGCGTGATCACATTCTCTAATGCCAAAGCCCAAACGGTACTTACATTTATAGATACACATTTATATACCAAACGGTTCTTACATTTATAGATATACATTTATACCAAACGGTTCTCTAATAGCATGATTTTAATTCGGGAAACACAATAGTTTTACACATGACACAATATTTTTACACATGACACTGTTATTTTTTTTCAGTATGACATGTTTTTTTAACATTTTTTTCGAATGTCTCTCTTTCATACACTCACGTCAAAATCCCAATCTTAAGTTTTTTTCTCTTTCAAACTTCGTGTTATTATTATTTGTTTCATGTTTTTTCCCCAAATTATTACAATATGCTACTGCATTTTTGTCTTTTGTTTAAGGGAAATTTTGAACTTTCCCATATTTAAAAACATTATTTTTAAGTTTTCTGATTCATGACTATTCTTTTGGGTCAAAACTCAAAATCTAGTTAATAGTATAATTCCCTTTATTTTTTAGTGGCAATATCTTTGTCATTCGGGATTCGGTAGGTCGAACTGGACTGGTTATTGACTTATTGGCATCACTACGACAATGTGAGTTAATATTTACCTCGCAACTAGCAATGTCACCACAGAGACGGCCTATTAGTGCAGAAGTCACAAGAAGGGGTGGGAAAGTGCTTAACCATTCAAACACATCAAGTGTGCCTTCATCCACCATTCCTAGAAAGGATCCTGTTAACAGAGCTAAGTAGCTCGATGAATAAACTCCGTTTTCTTTGTACTCGTCAAATGTTGCCACATAGTCTTCACTCAACCATTTTGCCTCTTGAAGATAGGCTTTAGCAGTTACAATCATCTGATTAATAAACATATAACCAACAAAATTTTAATTTAGATTCAACACACATGAACAAAGACTTACTAATTAGTTATATGCTTGCTTTTGAAGTAGTTGTGTATATAAGTATTTAGTAATACCGATTTTTTAGCGAGAAGGCCGCATCCGGACCTGCCTTCCCTCTCCATATCCTCCTCAAGTTTTCCATAGAAATCTAACACCACATGATGAAGATACTTCATACTCTCCGGGAGCCCTTCTATGCCGCTAGAATTCCACATAATCAATGCATTTGTAAATGGTTCGAGTTCCTCAATCGTGCCATATGCATCGTATGTATCATCAACAAGAGTCAATAAGATAACAACAATGGCCAATCTAATCCTTGCTTGAGAATATCGGGGCTCGGAATATGCTCCAACAGCCCACAAGTAGCTTTCGACAGTCCTATTCCTTGCATATGGTAGTTTCAAGTCTAGCTCTAGACTTGAGTACCACCTATAAAAAAAGAAGAACCAACAATCATTAAGGTAGTCTCTCCATATAAGAGTTTTAAATGTATATATAATATATCTGGCTAGCTCAAAATGGCACCTGAAGACTTGGCAAAGCTCTTTGCGGTGCAACATTTTCAGAAGATTGAAATCTATCTTAGCAAATTCAAGCAAGGTTTGGTCGTGCAGATCTTCTTCTTCATAGTATGAGATATATTGCCGTGTCTCTATCCTTGATATACCCCTAGGGTATGCATGTTTGAGGGCATTTTTAATGCGGATGGACATATGTGGACTAGATTGATCAGTCAGTCCTTCCAAATGATACCTAGAGAAAGCAAGAGCTTCATCGAGAATGTCTTCGCCATGGGTGCTCCAATGTGCAGCTTCATAAAGGCATAAAAGACCTCTTGCATCCTCAGCTAGGTGCTCCTTGAACTTTCCATCCTTATTCTTGAAGTTGTTAAACACATCTTATACATAAAAAAATTTTTGTTAGTCATCAAGTTTAACAATTAACATTTGTTTGGTAGATTTACTAATCATTATATATGCATATAGAGTACATAGTGAATATATCTTGCGCTTCCACAATATCAATATGATCGAAGTAGGTGAAATTTAAAGAAGAAAAATATACTATACTTATTTCAGTTTTCACAACTTATTATTTTAATATCTTTCATATTTATCATTTAACTGTACTTATGCAAAAACAACATTGGCTGGATCAATTAAAAATATGATCAAGTCGAGCCCGTGATTTATTAATTATATATTGGTCAGAATTTTGAATTGTATCTAAAACCTAAGAAACAATTAATATAGTTCTTAGACAAAAAACAAAATACTAATAATTAGCAACATTCTATTTCATGACTTTTTGTTAGTAATATCAATTCAATTTTTTTTTTTTAAACTCAAAATATGGAAACATAAATAAGAAACTTTTAGTCATAGAGATAAATTAACTAACATACTATGACATACTACTTTCGATAATTTAAATATTAGAGTGATCGATCACTTCTATAGTTCTATATTTTTCTGATTTCTTACTTACCGACACCAAGTTTATAGCCAAATTGTCTAAAAACTTGGAAGACAAGAGAGACGGTGTATAAATCGAACTCATTGTCTCTTATCATCTGCATAAAACCATGACAACCAAACATCGTCTCTAACTGCGCGAAGATTTCTCCTTCAAAGTGGTAGGAGATACCAAGGCGACAAAGAGCATCAATTAATTTGATGTTCTCTATCGGCTCTTCTTTTGAAGCCATTAACAATTCTCTTACGGTTTCCTTTAGTGAACTCAGCTTCTCTTCGTTTATCTCACTCTCCTATATACATCAATATAATGGCACGAGAGAAGACATCATAATTTAGAGTATATTTATAATTTTTTGTGAACAAATTTGCCTATAATTATTTAATCAAATGTGACTTCAAGTCGTGGGTACGTACCGGGTCTAAAACAGGAAAAGAGATCAAGGGATCTTCCCATATATTCACCGGAAAATCGGCTAATGGCCGATTAATTTCTTCAGTCGTAAGCGCTGACAAAGTATTTATTACCTCCTGCATGCTTAACTTCTTTTTTTTTTTTCTGATTTTAAAGTGTACCTATAATCACTCTTCAAGGTTTTCTTAAAGCTTTGCTAAAACTGTGGCTGCACTGGATACATATAGAGGCCATTGGATAAGGGCATCTCCAACCCTACTCTATTTTAGAGTAAAAATGCAAAATTCTTCTCCAACCCTACTCTATAATTGACTCTAAAATAGAGATTTCTGCAGATTGACTCTATATATAGAACAACTCTATTCTCAACTCTATTTTTGAATTCAACTTTTTTTATTTATACTTTAGTCCCTCAAATTTAAACTTTTTTATTTAATACATATAATCATTTTATAAACAACAATTACAACACATAGCTTTATAAACTTAACAAGCAAACAAGTACTAAATTTAAAATAATTTTATAAACTTAACAAACAAACAAGTACTAAATTTAAAATAAACAACATAAAAAAAACTAAAACATAAAACTAGTAATTTAATAGTCCGGTAAATTGCTTGTAGATCCGCCAAGATAGTTAAAATATTGTCCAAATGAAGTAGATGGAGGAGGAGTTTCTTGATCTTGATTTTGTTGTTGGACACGTCGTTTTTGTAAAATCCGTGCTTGTTCACTCTCAAAATATGCCCGAACATTTAGGTTTTGAAAGGAATTCAAATCACAAAATAAAATTTTGTTTTCTTCCTTTAGCTCATTCAAAACATAAAATTTGTAATGTTTTATTATTGTTATATGATGTAATGTTTTTTTTAATAAATAATTAGTGTTTAATTTAAATAATTTCATATTTTATGGGAATTTTGCAAATCTATAATATATGGAGTCAAATTGTAAATTATATAATTAAAAGGTATTAGTATATAAAATAGAAATAGAATATATCTAAGAATATTCATTTTTAGAGTAGAAAATAGAGATATACATTGGAGAGAAACCCTCCTCTAAAATAGAGTTACTCTATTTTAGAGTAAAATATAGAGCTCTACATTGGAGATGGTCTAAGCCTCTCTCTCTTTTCTTGGTCTTTGTTTTTTCAGCAACCTTTATTTTAATTTTGTTTATTTTTATGGTGTGTTCTATTAGGCGTGTAAAACATGAGTCATTGATTGGGATTTTAATTTTGTTTATTTTTATGGTGTGTTCTATTAGGCGTGTAAAACATGAGTCATTGATTGGGATTTTTTTTTTTTTTTTATAAACCCTATCGGCAGAAACGCACCGAAGTGCTTTAGAGTGGACTTCTCTCTGAAGGGCCACCACACTGTCTGTCCCGAGTTTTGAATGCTTTCCGACTAATGCCAGGGGTAGCCAGATCGTCTGTTACTGAACTACCAGGTAAACTGCTTGGGCCAAAGGCCCAAATCCAGACTTTTCACATAGATGTGTTTTTTTGTTTCCAGCGTAGATCGAATCTCGGTTAGTTCCTTCAAACCTTTCTCCAATTCTCAACTACCACTGGACCACAACTATGTGGCCGATTGGGATTCTTAGCCTATAATAAATTAAAGTAAATGAAAACTACATACTAAAGCAACAAGATAGATATAAAAAGATATAGCACTTGACCATACAATCTTAACTAATTCTAGCTAGTTCGATATACCTAATATTGGTGGTGTTAAAAAATAATAAAATGAGAATTTAACCCGTTTTAAAGCGGTGTGTTAATGATATTTAAAATTTTTATTAATGTTAATTCAAAGCCGTCCTGCCATATAACCCGTCATGCAATATAATCCGTCCCTTGCTATTTTTTAATATGTTCATAATATTATTAGTTTTTTATTTATTTTAATCCGTCTGTTTTGAAGGGGCGAGTTAATGATATTTTAATTTTTATTAATGTTGATTCAAACCCCGTCTCGCCATCCCGCAATATAATCCGTTCCGTGTTACTTTTTATTTTTATATGTTTAAATGTTCATAATATTATAAATTTTCTATTGCTATCAAATATATCAATTATAATATTTCCGGTAATATTAAACAGTTTAACTAAATTATGAATTAACCCATATACAAACTTTTAAATTTGGATGCTTGTTAAGTTAAAGTTCCTGCTCATTCGGATTTGAATTTATTTTGATTTTATTTATAATATAACTCTAAATCATTGTCTAAATATTTTAGCCGATGTGAGACGTTGAACACACACTTTTTTATTAATTGGATAAGATATGTTCGTTTTTAAAATTTTGAATCACAATATATGCAGATAAAAAATTGAGATTTTTTTAACTTTATGTATTATATGATAATTGAAAATAGTTAAAAAATAATCAAACAAAAATGAAAGGAGAATCATAAATTTAATAGGAACCAAATCTTCTCAATATCTTTATTTTTAAATATAGAAACGTAATTAGTGGACACGATCCAATTTTGGTAATATTTGTATCCTACTTTTAGGCAAATACCGATGTAAGAGTTGAGTTAAATATAACCCGATCCAACCAAATTTTTGTGAAGTAAATTTTGTATCGGGTCGGGTACTATTTGTGTCTGAAAACAATTTAACCCATCCGTAAAAAATGTACTTCAAAAATAGTAAAATACTAGTATAGATAAGTCAAACACCATTCTTTCGACTTGTTCCTCTTGCATAAAAATTAATGATTAATGATTAACAATAATTAGAGAACTGCAAACCTCCGTAGAAGTCTTTCCCCACCACATACCGAAGTCGAGGCCCTTCTCTGGGCGATGAAGTGTATGATTGGTGCGGACAATCAAGAGGTAGCGTTCTTTACAGACTGTTCAGACCTGGTGAAGATGGTGTCTTCTCCAACCGAATGGCCGGCGTTTTCAGTGTACTTGGAGGAATTTCAGATGGACAAGGAGGAATTTTCATCTTTTTCTCTATCTTTAATTTCTCGTATAGCTAATGTTAAAGCGGATAATCTGGCACAAAAAATTCGTACAGAACTGCTTCATATCACATATATAAACAACATTCCTCAGAAATGACTCTTCTAAGTTCTAATTAATTTTGGTTGACAAAAAAAATAAATAAAAAATAATTAGAGAACTCCTCTAAACTTGATCATGAAAGCGAGGAAGGGATCTGGATCTGGTGCAGCCAACACCGGAGAACAAACATGGAACTAAACCCAAACTCTCTCCGATTATGTATTCATGAAAAATGATCTCTGCAATAATTCTCAGAGCTCGGTAGTTGTTGTTGCTGCTACGTTTAAAGTAGCTTGGAAACCCAAACTTGTCTTCGTGTAGGTTTGCATACGCCAAAACGTTCATCCATCTTGCACCACATGTACAGTACTACACTAGCATTAAAAGGGTTTAATGCCAGCGGAATGTAATCAAAACCGGTCTCACTACAAGCTGGAGATAGTTAAGATACTAATTGCCATTCCACGCACGCAACGTATACTCTACATGTTTGTAATCGGGCACAATGTTCATATACATGATAAATCCTTGAGAACTACATTCTTTTGAATTTTGGAATTATTTCAGCGTTAGGGAAAAGTGTAACTTGGCATCGATTAGATTCCGTGCCAGCAGCGTAGAAATCAATGGATACAACAACCTCTCTATAGTATCTATTCACGCCGTCCCAGTAAAGATTTCCGTTCAAGCTAATGGGGTTGATAGAACTCAGCCCGCGCAAAGGGTGATGAGATTGGAGAGTGTTGAAACTCCATAATCCTGTTTGAGATGAATATATGAGTAAACTTAAGACATCAAAGTGAACTTTATCCATCAACACAACTTTGTAACCTAAAACGACTTCGTTTTGGATTTGTGTGGCTAGTCCAGCTGATTTGAAAATTGTAGAAACTAGAGAAGGATTTGCGTTACCCCGCGTAGTAGGGATTGACTATGGATCGGGCCTTGTCGATCCAAAGATGTCAAAAAAAAAAAAAAATCTCCCGATATTTATGCCTCTTACTTTAAATAAATAGTAGAAACTTATATAGAAGAAACCCCCAAATAAATTAAAAGAAAACCTAAATTTCAAAACCATAGAAGTAAATGTAGACCAAGACTTCTACGTTCTAGGACCACCAACGACAAATAAAAACACCTAACCGTAGAAACTAAAGGAGGATTTGGAGGAAAACTCTTTATTATGTGTTGTTGATGTCAAGAAAGTTGATACAATATATATAGACTAAATTAAGTTTAACCTAATTAGAATAGGAAATAGATAAAAATGAATAAGTAAATATTCTAAATCTTTTCATCCTTATCACAATAGGATATCTAGAATATTTTTTTTATTTCGGTTTCACGATCCGCTGTCTTGCTTTCCAAGTTACCTCAATAAAAATACGATTTGTTGGAGGAGGAGGGATTTCGACACATTGTCGTGAAATCGGATTAGCCACAAAGTAGGTTGAACTCCCAGGGATATGGATTTCTGTCAAAGTCGTACGGATCAAAATCAATCATGACATCGGGTGTAAGCCTCGACTTTGACACGTTGACGTTGGTGATGGAACTCGTATTCGAATTTTTCTCTTATGAGAGAAGATATATAAAAGCCAAGAGTTCGTGGAAGTCCCCAAATCTTGCATGCATAGTAACCTACAACCTCTTCTGGTGAGTGTATGTACATGAGAGACCACGAAGAATGCGAGTTTTGATGGTAAGACAGGAATCGTTGGCGGAAACACGGAGACTCAGCGAGCGATTTGCATTGCTTGCAAACTAGTTTGAAAGTGGTCTTAGCGGTAATCTCGCTAGTATATTTGCCCATAGATCATCTGTTAAGAAAATCATCTCCTTTTTCTTCTCAGTTTACATCCTAATTTAACAGGGTTTTTTCTCGCGTCAAAGACTTAGAATATCTTTAGTCTTTACCATCTATATATACATTTTTGGATCACAATTAGCAAATAAATCCGGAAGTTGAGAAGTATTTACAATGGCATGCCATTAACATTAATTATTTAGATTTGTTTTATTTAAGTAAAGATTTTTAAATGAAATTCATTTATCATATATTTAGCAAAAGTCTCTACAAAATCTTTCCTTATCTATTTAAGTAAAGATTTTGAAATCAAATATGTTTTCAACAATTTACCAAAAATCTCTACACAATCTTTTTAAAAATCTCGACTTAGTTAAGTTTTGATTTTTATCTGCAAAAAAAAAAATTAATAGTAACGAGTGATGTAAAAATCGGGAATGTTGATACTACAATTTCTTCTACTTTTTTTTTTCATATAATGAAAATTATTTTTTAGGGATATTTTCTCAAAACCTCTAAATAAAACAAAGGGTTTCAAAAGATAGCTTCTCTTTTGGCGGGTCGACCCGCAAACCCGCAACTCTCTACGGGCTTATCCGCATGAATATGCGACCCGTAGTGGATAAAAATATTATTCAAAAAAAAATAACAAATGATGTTTAATTTTACGGGACGGGGTTTTATGGTGCAACGGGTTTGGATCGATATTAATATTAAACAATATACTATGGATGAAATCCTAGAATTATAAATCAAAATTTAATTATAAAATCAGAAACACTAAACAAAATAAAAAATATTAACAAAACAAATATAACTTAAAATTTTGCTAAATAATTTTTTAGTTATAAAAGAATCGACCCGCGGTACACCGCGGGGTAAAATCTAGTTATATATAAATGTTTAACGTTGAAATTATAGAAGATTCACAATTTTAGTTATAGCTTTAGTGGTAAGATAAAGGAAGAAGAATCTTTATCAAAAAATGGAATACCAATGGTGTAGAACATATCTTGTCTTTCACGTTTACTATTTAATGCTATAAAGAGTTGACCAACTTTTCAAATCCATGTTAAAAAGGTTAGTATTTTGAGTTTAGGTTAATCCAATACTGATTAATCGATCAAAGAGTCAAAAGTCGCAAGTTTTTTTAACAAAACTTGGCAACCCTACCATCACAATTTCACAAACCCATCTCAAAATATCAAACAAAAATGGATCAAAATCTTGATACAAAGAAAAACCAAAAACATATTCATGAGACTTATTGCTTCCTTCCTCTTCCTTTCTTGGCAGGCTGTGTCTCCATCTGTTCTTTCCCGGTGACTTCAGAGAGATCGACTGCATTATACAGCCAACATAAATAAACTAAGTAAGTTATAATAAACCCAATGTTACACCACACACAAGGAGCTTTCCTTTTAAACGTTATGAGATGATGCACATTCAAGTTCCATTCTTTCAAGTTTGGTAGGCGAAAAGCAATGTTTAGAGAAAATAATAGCTGGTGACGATGTGATACGTTGTCTCATAATAGAAATATCCTCATAGCTCAATAAAACAGAGCAGGTTTTTTCTCAAACACTAAGAGATGATGCATATTCTTTCTTTAAGTTAGATATGCGGAGAATGAAATTTTTACCATCAGGTCCTCTGGCCATGAGGGTGAAAAATATGTTATTCAGTTTCTCCATCTTCTTCGCTTCTTGTGCTTGGTCTGTCTTGAACTTGAGACACTAAGTTAAATAAAAAGTAGAATAGAATGGTCATATACTAGACAAAAAGAATGGAGAAGATGAAAACAAGAAGGCTACAACAAGAAGAGCTAGTTAATCACAGAAGTTGATACAATCATTTACGTCAAACTCAGCCCAGCTTAACGAGTTCTAAAGTATCACACTTTGACTAACAAACACCAACATGCTTCAACCTCCAACAAGTACCATTGCTCTAAAGAGTGAACTATATCTGCTTATCTAACCCATCACCACGCAAGACACGTACGAAAACTAAGAAATATCGAAAACGTAGCCTATTAGCAATCGCATTGACCAAACCAAACCCAAAGTAACCACATAACTACGACAACATAGGATGAAAACTCAACCAGAAAACGATATCTCTAGTAATCAATCATCATGGAACCCTAAATTACATTCTCCAAAACAAGCATCCTTCGACGAATCAGATATCAACTTCAATAGCAAATATTGAATTCCATACTATTATATAAGATAAAACTCAAAGAAGCAGTGATCATAGAGAACTAGACACAGTCAAATTACCTCTTTGTTATCAGTAACCTTGAGAACTAACTTTCCGTCACAGTGTCTATACTTCATCACATACCGAGTCTGCACCACAACAATTGAATCCATTAGAAATAAAAATTCTGTACTTGGAATCGAAACATCTGAGATTGCCACCAACACAACGAGATTCAAATCAATTATCAAGGTTTATCAAAATTCCCAGTACAAAATTCGAGGAACTGTGTTCAATTTCCATAAATCAATCCAAATATCTCCAAATCAACCGTAAATTGTGTAATCGAAAAGGAGGAGAGCAAAAAAATAGCTAAACCTACAGATTCGGGATCAGCTCGAAAAATCTGAACAGATCGATCAACGAATTCGTCCCATGAAGCGATGTAAACCATCTTGATTCAGCTCTAACGGCGATTCTTCGATTTGAGGCGATTGAAATCTCCGGGAGACTCGACGGAGAAGCAGAGAGGAAAAAAGACGGCTTTTTATTTGTGTTTTCGGGATTAAATTGAGTGATGATCAAACCGAATTAAACCGAATAAAACCGGAGTAAACCGTTAGTATTGAGATTAGTAAAACCCTAACCGTTCTTCTTCAAACTTCTGCAATTTTTTTGTTTCTCCCAAATCTGTGAATCTCAGTGTTCTTCTTCACCATCATGCTCTCTCGTTTATTCCTTAGACCTTCGAATCTCCGTTACGTAACACTAGTTACATCGAAATCAAATTCTCAGATCTTCTCTTCGTTTATTCGTCCGCTTTCCACTAACAGTACCGGCGGCGGCGGAAATGGTGACGGGAATGGTCGTAATCGGAATGATGTTCCGTGGAGTTTCACTGGAGTAAACGATGATAAGTCTGGTCCTTTCTCTTCCGATGATTCTTGGGGTTCTTCTGGAGTTGAAGGATCTGGGTCTGTTGGTGGAGATGGGAAATGGCCGGAGGAGCCTAAGAGATGGAATATGAAAGAGGAAGAGGATAAGGTTGTGTTTGATACTGGTGGAGAAGTCGGTCAAGGGATTGAGACTGGTCGTGAGAGGAGAGGCAATGAATGGGAGGAGACTAAGCGATGGGATATGAAGAAGGGAGAGGAGGAAGTTGTGTTTGGTGCTGGAGAAGATGTAGTGGATGGGTTTGGAATCAGGGGAGAGGTGAAATCTAATGAATGGGATGTGTCAAAGCCGTGGAATTTGAAAGAGGAGGAGGAGGGAGTTGTGTTTGACACTGGAGGTGAAGTGCCGTTTAGCTTTGAGAATAGCTTGGAAATGACGGAGGAAGAGCGTGTGAAGAAGGAGTTGATTGAGAAAGAGGAGAAGGAGCTTCTTGAGGTTATCAAGGGTGAGATTTTGTGAATTCGTTTTGCTGATTCTTAAGGTTTGATTTTAATATGCATTGCACCAGTAGTTTGAATATGTGTCTAGATTTGGAATTAGGGGATGAATGGATATCTAATAATGATCACATGACTTGCCTTGTTAAGGTTAGGTTTGGATTTGAGGATTAGTCAAGTAGCAAAGGTTGTGTAACTAATCTATCGATAGACATGCTTGCTGAGTGGAGGATATGATAGTTTTTGGAGTAAGCTCGAATGTTAAAGAGGAATAAGCATTTGGGTAGAAAGACTTAAAGACTTGTGTTTGAAGTGGATAGATTTGTGCTTACTGACGCTAAGGAACAGTTTAGTGCTTATGTGTGTTTGCTATTAACAATGCTCAGTAGAATAATTTGAAGAATTTGTTATTTTGATCACATTGGTAATTGATTCTGCTGCTAGTAAAACAAGCGCCAGAAGTAGAGTAAATTTTGCAGTTTTGCTGATTTGGAACTTACTATTGCAGGTCCTGATCGAGCATTTGGAGACCTTATTGCTAAGTCGGGTATAACAGATGAAATGCTAGATAGTTTAATAGCCTTGAAGGATTTCCAAGGGGTCGAAGGATTGCCTCCTCTGACTGAGATTGAAAACCTGCGCCGCGAGAAAAGTTCAAAGAAGTCCTCAAGAGCTGAGATAGAACTCCAGATGCAAGAGGACATTGCCAAAGCACGGGTGAGACAAGTTGACGAAACAGGTAGAGCCTATGGAACTGGAAGAAGAAAATGTAGCATTGCCCGTGTTTGGATTCAACCTGGGGAAGGAAAATTTCAAGTTAATGAAAAAGAATTTGATGCTTATTTCCCTATGCTTGATCATCGCGCTGCTCTTCTACGCCCACTTGCTGAAACCAAAACCTTGGGTCGTTGGGATATTAAATGCACTGTTAAAGGCGGTGGTACTACAGGTAAAACCCCTCCACAAGCACCTCATTTTCTTCGACTATTAGTCACTCAGAGCTTAAGTTTCTTTAGCAAGTGTGATTTATACACTATAGGATTTGGTCTTAAGTTAACAGATTAGATTGCCATCTCTTTACAAATATCAACAATTTTTAAAGCTTTATTGCTTCTAATCGTTATTCACTATGTACTCAAATATTTGGTTTAAAGGTCAAGTTGGAGCTATTCAATTGGGTATCAGCAGGGCACTGCAAAACTGGGAACCAGATATGCGGACATCACTTCGAGCTGGTAAGCAAGATACTACACGCATCTTAGCGTTATTAAATCTGTGTAGTCCTTTTAACGTTCATTAGCAGAGATACAACTTATTGTCTGAACAATGTTTTCATTTGATAGCCGGTATGTGTGTTCATGTATGTTGAATTGATTGGTCTTGATCTCGATCTTTTTCATCTTCGATATGTTTCAGCTGGTTTCTTGACAAGAGACTCTCGAGTTGTGGAAAGGAAGAAACCTGGAAAAGCTAAGGCAAGAAAGAGCTTCCAATGGGTCAAACGTTAAATCCGAAAACCCGTACGATATCTTCTCCTTTTTGTCTCTGTCATTTTCATTGGTTCATCTACTTATACCGGGTTTAGAAGAATCACCGGCAAATAACTTGTTCTTTTGGTTCGATCCCTTAGTTATCTTCATGTACCAACACATTCTTCTCTTACGACTCGGAGTCTTGGAAACTTGAGTTTCTTTGGTTTGTGAGTCGGATACATATTTTGTATGTTTTGTTCCGGCAATTTGTCATGCTTCTTCAAAAAGTGCATTGATGTTTAAACATAATGATCAACTCTTTATATGGATTATATTATTAGGTAAATTTTCATTCTTTATGTCCAATTCTCGTAGACTAAACAAGAATTGGTTACATTGGCTATATTCATATATTTCCCAAACTCGCATACCAAAATAGCTAATTGGACAAACTCTATTATACCATCCAAATATGGCAAACGTGACTTATGAGTTTGTGTAAAGACTTTCCATAACAGAGCAATGGATAGATTTTGACATTTTGTTGATAACTTTTATTCACTTGAAGGTTCTATTTTATATTACGTGCAAGCATCCACTCATTCAATTTCTTCACTCCTACTACAAGTACTAACAAAATTAACAATTTCCCAACAAATCCCTAGATGTCCTTTCTCTAGCAATCGAAGTAACTATTTTAGTTTCATTAAAATAACATATCACTCGAATGACTATATAATACCAAAACACCTTCTTGTCGTTCTCTTCTCCCAATACCTTAAAACTTAAACCAAAATAGATTTTGCTTCATCCAATATCTCGAACATGGGTATAAAAGTTTCATCAAAGATCAAAAGAATTCTCGCATCGACAGGTTTAATTTCTAATTTTTCTAATGCAATTCAGTTTGTAACCAAGAAAAAATAATAGTAATAGTTCAAAATTTTCTTATGAAACGTTTTCTAATCTCTATTGGTACAGCTTCGGGTAGTTCAAGTCCCAAAGATGGTGATGATGTGGATGTTCGAGAAGAATATGCAAACGCCTTTCGTACAGAGTCATACAATCAGTTTTGGACACGTGTCATACACTTAAGCCGTAAAAAGTCCACGGTGTCTTCTTCTTCTTCACCAATTGAATCATCCTCCACGTCAGCTCGTCTAATGTCCTATCGCCTCTTCGCACATAATCTCCTAGACCCGGATCCAAATACCATTACCCGGATACTGGATGTATCCCGGGTCGGACGACCCACCCGAACTCTTCTCACTGATTACTTCTTGGAGACGGCAAATGCTTTCTTGCTTTGCACGTTATTACTTAAAAACATTCATCGTCTTCGTTCTAAATACGAGTCTTTGAAACCTAAATTTCAATCGGAGAATCATAATTCATTGGATTTAGTAGACCAATTCACGGAGATATCAAAATGGTTTGACCCGTTTATCTCGTCGGGTTCTAGGATCCAGCTAATCAGATCCAGCTGTTTAGACTTGCTAAAACGGCTAGAGTCAAGTCGAGACAAGACACGAGCCAAACTCAAGCTTATCAACGGACTAACTCATAGCTCAGGGCTTCTCGTTTTGGCTCTAACAACTACATTGATTGTAACCATAGCCTCTCACGCCTTTGCTTTGTTTATAGCCGGTCCGACTCTTTTAACCGGTCGATTCAAACCAGCCGGGTTAAGAAATAAGTTGACGAAAACAGCGGCTCGACTCGACGTGGCTGCGAAAGGTACTTACATTTTAAGCCGTGATTTAGACACGATAAGCCGACTAGTAACTCGGATTAACGATGAAGTGGACCATGTTCGAGCCATGGCTGAGTTTTGGGTTGGGAGAGGGTCGGGTCGGGTTCGAGGCAGTGAAGAAGTGGCTCGAGAGTTAAAGAGATGTGAAGAAAGCTTTAGTGAAGAACTTGATGAGCTTGAAGAACATATCTACTTGTGTTTCATGACTATTAATCGGGCAAGGAATCTTGTTGTTAGAGAGGTTTTGGATTCGGATGATCCACCTAATTGTTCATTCGCTCCCAAATCCAAAAAAAAATTGTAGTATATTTTTTATCATGTCGATTTTATTATTTCTTTTGTTTTGGTTTACAATGTATTATTTCTTTTTACCATCAATAATATATTTTTTAATTCCTATTTCCTAGAAACATTTACATTATTGTTTCTATTTTAATTTTTGGTCGGATACATTTTGATTTCTATTTGGATATTATTCGGATTCTATTAGTTAGTAGTCATAAGAATGCCAAATACAAGAGTCTAAGCTCTACATTTATTAGAAGAGAAAACAAATCTTACATTGAGACTTTAATCATTTATAATTTTATATCCCAAATTTCATGTATATACCAACTAAAAAGGGTACTCAGTATATCTAAAATTATTATTATTAACTAATGAAAATGTAAGAAAATGACAAAGTCTTTTTCATCAATGTGTACCATACACTTTCTTTAAATAATATAAATTTTGGAATATTAACATTTGTCAAAAGAAATCCCAAAATCCATTACATGTGTCGACCTCTTTCTTTGGGTAGGAGAGACTATTCATCGGAAAAATGAACCAACATTTTTTCTTCCTAAATCTTCTAATTATTAGGTAAATCGGTTGACTCATAAACCGAGTCAGCGACTCGTCCGAACCATAAAAACGATTCCAATTCGACGAATCTCACGAGTTTCCACTACTTTTATATAAAGTCACTTTGCAAATTGGCAAAATTGAACAAATGCTTATACAAAGTTATCAAATCTAGAGATAGAGAGAGTGAGAAAAGGCGAAAAATATGGGAGATATCGGTGGAGAAGAACTGGTCTTAGATGTGGATGAGACGATCTTCGTCGCGGTGGCGGAAGATGTGGAGAGAAGCAAAACCACGGTGTTATGGGCGGCGCGTAACTTTTCCGGCAAGAAGATTTGTTTGCTTTATGTTCATCGAACTGCTCGCGCTGCCTCCTGGAGTTAGATCTTCTTCTTCTTCTTCGCTTTCTCAGTTTCTAAATTAGTTCTTTGTGGTGAATTATGGTTTTTGGATGTATAGATCTGTTTGTTGAATTATAAAACCTAGAATTAGAACCGAAATTTCGAGTGGAATTTTCTGAGAGAATTCTCGAAATTTCAAGAGGAAGATAAACCATTGAGATTAACATTTTCGTGATCGGTAATTTAAGAGTTTGGAAGAAGTACACAAGGAGATGATGATGAATATGATTTAGTTATAATGTACATTGTACAAAGCACTGTAAACATATGTTGGTTTGCTTGCCCAATATGTTTTAGAGATGAAACCTTTTTAATTTGATTGTGGAAGCAGGACACTGGGATGAGTTTAGCTGCTATTTATTGCATTTTTTATTTTATTTTTCTTGACCATTGCCAAAGATGTTAAGACTTGTTTACCTGCAGCGCACAAGAAACTTGTTGGTGGTAGCTTTAAAAAACATGATGTCAAGGTGATTGAGAGAGCTGAGAAACCCAAAGTGGATGAGCTGATGAATTCTTATCTTCATCTTTTATCTGAAACTGAGGTATCAATTCTCTCTTTTCTTTTCGTGTAATGTTGTTATTGATTGTAAGTTCACACAAACCATCAGTTAGCTGTTTTGGTGTTACAAAAACGGGAAAAATCTTGTGCACTGTTCTTTGTATTAGACATTCTTGTTCAGGACCCTTTCATATGTTTATATAACGAATTGACATAGTTCTTTTTAGGTTCAAACAGATAAACTTTGCATTGCGGGGCAAAATATCGAGGAAGGTATCTTAGAACTAATTGCTCGCCACAAAATTAAGTGGTTAGTCATGGGAGCTGCATCAGATAAGCATTACTCATGGTAAGATATGATTCTATATTTTATCTTCTACTTTTCAAATGTTTTGACTTCTGAAATTTATATAATCAATTTAAATTTGTATTGCCAGGAAAATGACGGATCTAAAGTCCAAGAAAGCCATATTCGTTTGCAAAAAAGCTCCTGATTACTGCCATATCTGGTTTCTGTGTAAAGGTTACCTTATCTTTACAAGGTAGGTTCTTTTTCTTTTCGAAGGTTGCAGAAAGAGTGAATGTGATGTCTTAAATAACCATCTTTCCAAAGCTTAACTATATATATATATATATATATATATACATCTGCAGAAACTTCGATATAATATATGTCAATGTCATGTCATGGGACTTTGGTTATCGGATTTAGTTTAGTCTTCCACCTTCAGTTAACTGCTTCTATTATTTATTTTCGTTTTCTACTTCTATTCGTTTAACTAAAAGAAAAACACTCTAAAACAGGGCGTCAAATGAGGGTAGTAATAACAGACAAACGATGCCGCCCCTAGTACAGCTGGATTCAGATAATGAGACAAGGAAATCAGAAAAATTGGAATCGTCTTATATGAGGAGAAGATTAAGATATTGGCGCAGCCTCCTTGAACAAGGTAGCGGTTACCTTGGATTTTGCAAGGTCCCTCAGCATATCATTTCCTTTGCTATCAGTTGTATCTGTCTTTGTGTGTAAATTTGTTACAGAATTGTGCAGATGGTGAGAAAGACACAGGTCAATTGGAGAGAGAAAAGGTAGAACCAAGAGCAACTCCACATTTTTCTTCAGGTTCGAGTTCTTCCTTTGGTGAGCCGGTTGGTCCAGAGCCGATTAGCCCAGAATTGGTTGACTCGGATACACTAACTACCTCAAATGTTAAGGTAGGAGGATTTTGCTTCATCTTTGCTTTTCTACCGATGATTGCTGAATATAAAGTAACTATTAGACGCTTAAGTACTTCCTTTGCGTGAAAAGACATTACTTTGGCAAACAATTACAGTTGCTGGTTTGTTTTCAAGATCTTAATATAGATATTTTTAAAACGTGACTATGTGGAAATAATTTATGATAGTAATTTTGTCTTTGCAATATATTGAAAGACCAACTTAAAGTGAACATGATGCTGAATACTTTTCGTATGAACAAGCATTTGACCCACCTGGTAATCGGGTGATCCTGTCAAATTTCAGGAAAAAGAGCGTGAAGGAGATGTTGCACGCAAAGTCCATAGGTATGATAAAGCCATGCATGATATTGGCCAATCAGAGAGAACGGTATATGGGGAAGCTGGGAAAAATTGGAAAGAGGATGCCAGTACCACAGAGGCTTTATGCAAGGTAATACTCCAATTCGTTTCTCAGTTATTAAAGAATTGCAGATGATAGTTTAAAGTGATAGTCTTGGTCCATTTCTGCTAGTTGTGCATTTAAATCAATGCATCATGTTACCACATGCAAACAAGATTTACATAAAGAAATATTTCACTGCGGATTTGTAGATTGCTAACATTAGGTACAGAACTCCTTCAGTTGATAGATCAATGTGTGTTTGTGGATCACAATAAATGAGAAATGGAAGAGTGCTGGTTTCTTAAGCTTGGTAAGCTTTACCTTAGAGGGCGTTATATATTTTGCTGTCAAAGAGCTTTAGTTGAATAGTTGATGCCTTTGCTGGAGAATCTTAAGTCGCTGGCATGTCCAACTCGTTTCTCCCAGCTCTAATATTTTTTTGTCATTCCATCTCACAGGCTAGAGCTTTGGAAGGCTTATGCATTAAGGAGTCGAGCCAAAGAAAGAGATTGGAGGAGTTGCTGGAAAAGGAGAAGCATGAAGTAAAAATGGTAATAGAGCAGAACAGCGGATTCATGAAAGAACTTCAAATGGTTCAGGGTCAGAATCTTAAGTTGGAGAGCCAGATAAGGAAACTGCAAGACTTGGAAAAAGAACATGGTGAGAAATTCGATACGGCTATGGAGCTCTTGAAAAGTTTTAGGCAGAAAAGGGATGAGATCCGGATCGATCATGAGAACGCAGTAAAGGAAGTAAACGCACTGAGAAGGCTGATTAAAGGAGAGACTGGAGAGTTTTCTGGGTCAGAAATGCTCGAGTACTCTTTTATGGAAATCAATGAGGCTACTAATGAATTTGATCCATCATGGAAACTTGGAGAAGGCAAATACGGAAGTATCTACAAAGGGAATCTTCAACATCTTCAAGTTGCAGTAAAGATGTTGCCCTCATATGGATCCCTGAATCACTTTGAGTTTGAGCGTCGGGTAAAGGATCTTATGTATATGTAAAAATAAAATTGAAAATATAAATGTATACATCCTCGAAGTTCTTTTAATGAACAGGTTATGTTTTTTGGGTTTCAGGTGGAAATTTTAAGCAGGGTGAGGCATCCAAATCTGGTAACACTGATGGGTGCTTGTCCAGAGTCTCGGTCTCTCATTTATCAATATATTCCTAACGGAAGCCTTGAAGACTGCTTTTCATCTGAGAACAACGTGCCTGCACTTTCATGGGAATCTCGGATCAGGATTGCCTCTGAGATATGCTCTGCTCTCCTGTTTCTTCATACAAACATTCCTTGCATCATTCATGGAAACCTAAAACCGTCTAAGATTCTCCTGGATTCCAATCTCGTCACCAAAGTCAACGACTACGGGATCTCTCAGCTGATCCCGATTGACGGATTCGACAAATCTGATCCTCACGTAGATCCACATTACTTTGTTTCCAGGGAAATGACGCTGGAATCAGATATATACGCGTTTGGGATCATTCTCCTTCTGCTTCTCACCAGAAGACCTGTATCTGGCATACTGAGAGACGTCAAATGCGCTCTGGAGAACGATAACATCAGTGCGGTTTTGGATAATTCAGCAGGAGCCTGGCCAATTGCACGAGGCAAAAAGCTAGCTAATGTAGCCATCCGTTGCTGTAAGAAAAACCCAATGAATCGACCAGACTTAGCAGTGGTTCTACGGTTTATAGATCGAATGAAAGCCCCAGAAGTGCCTTCCTCAGAAACATCATACTCGGACCAAAAAGTTCCACGCCGCCCTCCTTCTCATTACCTCTGCCCCATTTTTCAGGTGAGTTTCAAAGCCTAAACAGAGTTTGATCGGGGAATAAGACAAAATTCTAACTTAATGTTTGTTGGCATCACAGGAAGTGATGAAAGATCCTTTGATAGCAGCAGATGGGTTCACTTACGAAGCAGAAGCAATTAGAGAATGGTTAGCAAACGGGCACGATACATCTCCGATGACAAACCTGAAGATGGAAGATTGCAATCTCATACCAAATCACGCTCTTCATCTAGCTATCCAAGATTGGCAAAACCAATGGTGATTTACTTTTGCCTTTCTATTCAGACAACAATATTGCTATTTTTAACTCCCAATTTTTTTAGATTGTCACTATGTAAATTGACCCCTAAACGTATGGAAAATATATAAGCCTTACGTACGTATATGTCACAGTTATAATTCGAAATGAAGGTTAAAACGTATCTCCCTTTTGTTGTACACTACACATAATTCATAACTGTATAATTCACACATAATACGACGTCGTTCCTTTTGCCCGCCAAACAGAAAATGTAAAGCGTTGGAGAGATGTTTTACTCTAACAGTGTCATTTGACTGTTAGGTAAATGGCAAATCAGAGTCATCAGACATTCTTTGCGTCCTCACCTATGGAGAATTTCATCAATCACCATCGCATCATCATCACTTCTCATGGATTTCACAGATACCGGAATCTACCGCTCGGATTCTGCTGCCTCCGATCAAGACCATGACCTCCGACAATGTAATAATCACTATTCGTTAGACTCTGACTTTCTCCGTCTCCGAAGTCAGATATTCGAAGGGAGTTATCGGAGAACTGATTTGATTAGAGTGAACCTTGAGCTTTCCCACGAGAGAGATGCACTTAGGCGAAGAAATCGTGAGCTTGAAGCTGGAATTTTGGAGGCAGAGATGATTAGAAAGGAAATGAAGAGAGATATGGAAGTTTCTAAAGAAAGAGTAGGTGAATCGGATGGAGAGACGAAGGAGAAATCCAAATTACTATCGGATATTTCGGATTCCGTACGATCTATGGAAGACCGCTTGTCGAAATCGATCCGCTGTTTAAACGAAGAGGAAGAGGAAAGAGGGGGGAAACTGGAAAGAGAGGAATATAATTTCATGTCAATATTGGAGTTAGTCAAGGAGGTTGAAACGAAGTTAAAGACGTTCATGGAATCAATGGAGAAGAAGAAGCTAGCGCTAAGTAGAAGTGTGGAGCTCTTGGAAGAGGAGAACAGAGATATCAGTATCTTGTTAAGGGCTGCTTTGTCTGAGAAACAAACTGCAGAGAAGCAATTGAAAGAGATGAATGAGCAGAAGGGATCGGCTTTGCTGCAAATCGCAGGACGAGGATTGCAGAGAATAGGTTTTGGTTTCGGGTTCGGGGATTCTGTAGAGGAGAGCTCAGAAGCGGGAAATCTCGCCAAGGACAAGGAAAGAGAAGAAGAGAATGGTGTGGTACGTTCATTACTTTATTCACATTCTTGTGATTTTGTGGAGTTTTAGAAACAAGGATCAAAAAATTGTTTTAACTATTGCAAGGACAGGTTATAGCAATAGAGAACACTATGAAGAAGCTACGGCAAGAGGTTTCTCAGCTGAAGATATCTTTGGAGGAATCAAGGTAAGCTTTTTTCTTAAACTCAAAACACATAGATGATGATGGATTATGGTTAAGCTTCGATTTTGATAAATGCACGAGAAACATCTTAAAATTAAGAAAAATGCAATTTTCATCTTGTTCTGACAGGTTAGAAGAAGAGCGATTGAAGAAATTTACAGAGGAACAAGCTCAGAAAATAGCAGAGAACACGGTGTATATCGACAATCTGCAAAATCAAGAGATGTTTCTTGCTCAAAACGTAATGTATTTGCGGATACATAGCTTCTGTCTTCCTCAATAAGATTCTCATTTTTGTCACAAATCACTTACTAAAGAGAGGTTTTTAACTTAACCAAAGGTGGAAGAGCTAGTGAAAGTAATAAGAGAAGCTGAATCAGAAGTAAGTAGATGGAGAGAAGCTTGTGAGCTAGAAGTTGAAGCAGGGCAGCGCGAAGTGGAAGTACGCGATCAACTCGTAAGTTTCATTCACTTTTCCAATCTTAAAACAATACAGACAACCCATAACTAACAAAACTCATTGTTACAATCAGATAGCGGTTTTAAAGACAGAGGTAGAGAAGCTGAGATCAGCCTTGACCATATCAGAGGGAAAACTAAAATTGAAAGAAGAATTGGCTAAAGCCGCAATGGTAGCAGAAGAAGCAGCTGAGAAATCTCTGCGGTTGTCCGAGAGAAGAATAGCTCAACTTCTCAGCCGCATTGAAAATCTCTACCGCCAATTGGAAGAAGCAGAGTCTACAGAACGCAGACGCGGAAAGTTTAGGTATGTTTGGTGTTGGCCGATGTGGCGCTTGCCTACTGCTGCTTCTGCTGCTGCGACCGCTAGTGGTGGTTCTTCATATACAAGCAACAGAGAATTGTTACGATATGATGCGTGATGATCTAGTACTGTTGGCAGTTAGCACAATAGTTGTATAGACTAAATATTTACTTGTATTAAAAATCGTTACTATTGTGCGGAAAATAAAGTCCCACTTCCTCATAATGTAACCAAGATTTAGCATCCTATCGATAGGTAAAGTTGAGAATTTTACATTTCCCAGTGGCCATAGTAACAGTTCAAGACTTTACATGGATTCAAACACAAAGTGACATGGATTTGAAGCCCTGCCCAAACTAGCCAACTCGTTGAGCATCTCAAGTCTCTTTTCCAATTTTTTGAGCTCTACCGGTTCGATGGGTTTTGTGGAGAAAGTTGCTTTCTTCAAACATCTTGTGTTACTTAGGATGTATGTTGCTACTTCTTTCTCATCTCTTCGTTGCCATTCGTATCCTATCCACACGAATGTCTCAAGATGGAACACCAAACATTCCGGTACACATTTCGGCTGATTCCATTTTCGGCGATCCGATTTCCTTTGTTGGAAGACATAGATAGCTGAGAACAATGCAATTTGAATATGTAATATTGATCAACAAAGTACCTGAAAGTGGAGTTCTGGAAAACAAAAAAAAAAAGTAGCTGTCATGACTAATGAAATTGCTTACGTACATCGATGAGCTTAAGGATTTGCAACTTAGGACAACCATCAAGCATGAGCGAAAGTAGATTCCACCTCTTCCATTTATCTGTATGTAGTTCCAAATATACTAGCTGATGGAAAATGCTACCACTAGGATACTTGATCTGTGCATGAGGTAACATTAGTACACAAAATAATGTTAGGCCAATTGTCTAAAATCTAAAATTTAAAATTTACCTCTAAGGGTGAAAAGTGTAAGGAAAGACGTTTGGCTGAAGTTAGAGATTGCAGAATGTTCTCATAGTTTATATCACAAACGTCACTGACTTTTGCCTCCACCAGCTCTGACGCATTCTCAATCAGACAAAATTCACGCTTATAGAACCCTTCGATGTTCAAGTATTTCAAAGAAGGAGCATTTATCACATAGCCTCCTTCACCTCCTCCTCCTCTATGGTAATAATCTTGGTAATAATCTTGTACGGTTAGTCTCTGTAATGATGGCACCGCAATAGTGAAAGTTTTCTCAGAGACAAAGAGTTTGTAGCTTCGATGTACTACCAAATCTTCAAGACTAGGACATCCACCTAAAAGGTTGCAAACAGATTCTTTGTTTCTAAATCTAACATAGTAGAGGTGCAGCTTTCTAAGGGACTTCAAACAAACCCGATAAGGAAAATCTAAAAGAATGGAATGCTTGAGTGTTAAGGTCTCAAGTGTATTATTATCATAGATACACAAAACACTCGGATTTATGACTGTACTGCCCACATCATCATAGTAAAAGATATAGTCAAGATCCAGTACCAAATTACGCACATGGCGTGCAAATGCAATTCCAATCAATATTCCAACATTCGAAGCATCATATCTATGTCGAATTTCCAAATGAAAACTCTCTAGAAACAGAGCTTTATGTAACATAAAAAATCTGTAAACATCCTCTAAAAATGTACGGTGATACTTAGAATCAAACTTGAGATTTTGCACCGTCTCCCAAACATGTCTCCAACGTTTAGACAAAACACTCGTGGCTACGACAGTTTTTGTCGGAAGTGAAGACATTATATGCACAAGCAAAGCTTCATGCAACTCACTGATTCTGTCCTCGTTCACAACATCTCCATTGCTCAAACATTCACCACCACTTTCGCTGTAGAAAAACAAATTAAAGAACGTAAGATAGAGTTTTAGGGTTCAAAAATTTATTAGGGTTAGAGCTTACAACTAGTAATATCATATATAGAAAGAGATTCGAGAGAGAAAAAAAAAAAAACATAAACGAAACAAAGCAACATACGACATACCATTGTTGTTCCATCGTCGTTAATAGAGACAACAATTTGCTAAGATGTCTTCTCAGTGCTCCAAACGCAAACGTAGACTATATCACACGAATCCGACTAAAAGCTTAGAGATGGTATAACACCACAACGGTGACGATTCAGCTTCAAAACGTCAGCAGGTCAGTTTTCTTCCGGGTTCAAAACAAAACTGAATTCAACAAGCCGGGAAAAAAAAAAAGGGGGAATACGTTTATTTGGTCTCAACTCTTACGGTCTTACCCTTGTCCAATCATAGTATATAATAGTTGAAGGACTCTCTAGAATTTAATACATCACCATACCACATTTTTTTCAATTTTTTTTAGTTAAATACAATTAAACTAATATTAACTATCCATTATTTATATAAAAAACTAATATATGATATACTCCCTATCTTCCTGAAAATTTGATGTTTTAGAGTTTACACACATATTAAGAAACAATCATGATTTAATCATTTAATAATTTTTTTTTTTATTAAATATTTTTAATAATATATCAACCAATAGTAATCTAAAACAGTTAATTATTTGTAATCATTATGCCTTGAAATCTACGATTTGTTAATATCAATTAATGAAAAATAAAATAAAAAGCTAGAAAATCAATATTTGTGGAACAAACCTAAAACGCTAGAACATCAAACTTTCAGGAACGGAGGGAGTATTACATATATAAATCATCTAATTTAAATTTGATCATATTCAATTTTATAAAAAAGTATGCATAAACATTAAATCAATGAAATTTTTATTTCATTAAAGTACAAACATTAAATTATATGCTATTTTATAATTTATGAGTTATTTTAAGATATGAAATTAATATTAGTTTTCTATATATCTTCTAAAACATTTTAAAGATAATGAAATATTTTATTTATTTTCTTGTTTTTAGGTAAGTAATCCTATGTAAACCCTAAACTATATAACTTAAAATACAAAATTACTAGATAACAACCCGCACTATGTGCAGGACAAAACAATTATTAACCAATTTTAATGTATTGATGATATTGAAGGTGTTCGGTTTTTATATTATTAGATAAATGGTGTTATATTAATTATTATCAAGATTAGTGAAATTTTCATTTATATATTAATGTTTATGTTTATCATAATTTATGATATATATCTTGGTATATTAATCAATATACAAAATATTAAGTACTCCATTTGGTATAAATTTTTATATCTTAATTGCATATTTTAATTGTATTTTTGTTTTAATTAATTGAATAAAATAGAAAAACATTAATTAAGTAGAAAATAAATATAAGTAAAACTAATGGCAAAATCTGTAAATATCTTAATAAATATTGGGTTTTTAATTAAATGGATTGAGAAGCTATATGAGAATGACACGTCAGCATAACATTTTTGTTAAGGGAGACTCACAAAAATGCCCTTTTTTCAATACTCCTTTTCAAAAATGTCCCCTTTGACTGTCCATTTTTAAAAATACCTCTTTTTATGTACAAAATGACTAAATTACCCTTCTTATAATAAAAGATATCACAAATATATAAAGAAAACATGACAATGTGCACACATCAAAATTACAAATTGATTTTGTAAAAACTTGTAAAACCTTTAAAATACCTTGTAAAATTTTTCCGCCAAAAAATTTTCCCGCTAAAAAATTTTTTTTGCGGGAAAAATGATTCCGCAATTTTTTTGGCATTAAATTTTTGGCGGGAAAAATTTACAAGGTATTTTAAATAAAAAAAAATTTTTGCGAGAAAAATGATTCCGCAATTTTTTTGGCGGGAAAAATTTACAAGGTATTTTAAAGGTTTTTTACAGGGTATTTATAAGGTTTTACAATGTATTTTAAAAGGTTTTACAACGTATTTATAAGGTATTTATAAGATATTATAAGATTTTACAAGCTATTTTATAAGGTTTTACATGTTTTTTAAAAGGTTTTACAAGTTATAAATACCTTATAAGTACCTTGTAAAACCTTTTAAAATACATTGTAAAATCTTACAAAACACTTGTAAATACTCTGTAAAACCTTTAAAATACCTTGTAAATTTTTTCCGCCAAAAATTTTCTAGCCAAAAAAATTGCGGAATCACTTTTCCCGCAAAAAAAAATTTTTGGCGGGAAAAATTTTTACAGGAAAATTTTACAAGGTATTTTAAAGGTTTTACAATTTTTTACAAGTGTTTTGGCGGGAAAATTGCGGGATCACTTTTCCCGCCAAAAAATATTTTGTATTTTGTAGACCTAATTTTGTTTCAAATAAGGATAAAATGGTCATTAAAAATTAAAAGAGGGCAAACTTAAAAATGGACTCTCAGAGGGGGGGCATTTTTGAAAAGGGATATTGAAAAGGGGGCATTTTTAACAATTTCTCTTTTGTTAATCACACATAAAGATAATGTTATTTTTTAAAAATGTTCCTCAATTAATATATAAGGGATACTAAATTTTTTATTTCATCAATTAAATTAGTTCAATAAATGAAAATTATTCAATAAATTATGGATAAAAAACTCGCACATGTGTACATGTGTTGGCCTACTATATATAATTTCAGCTTTTAATGAGTACAAATGTTCAAGTTTCTTGGTTTGTCTGTGTTCCTATAAAATACTACTTTTTTTTTTTTTCGTCAAAATAGATTATATTAACTTGAAAAATCAGTACACATGTGTTTTTTGAGCCAACTTGGCATGTTTACAGAATCAGAATAGAAACCAGAAGGACTACTAAAGACAAAAATGTTTGCAAGAAAAACCATTACAAAAACACTTATACTTTTAGAAAAATAGAAACAAACATCAACGAACAAATTTAATGGCTATAACTGCAGAAACATAGGCTGTGGCGTGTTGAAGAAGTAAGAAGTAAAGAAGCGCGATTTGTCGAATACGAGGCGTTATAGTGAAAAGCAAAAACGTTGTCGTTTTTAAAAATTAGAAAGTCTCTGCGTCAGATCTCAGATGGGCCTCACGGTACAAGAAGCCTTCAACGTTACACGTTTTACTTAATTAAACGTTGTCGTTTTAGGGAATTAGGGAATTAGTGTAATCTTCTTCTTCGGCGGCCAAAAACAAGTCCTCGAACAAACACGGCGGCGACGACGATGAAAGAAGAGAAGAAACAAGAAAATGTTACAGTGACGACGAAGAAGATAGCTTCATCGTGCGATGTGGAGGCGTTGAAGAAATGCTTAGAAGAAAATAAAGGAGATCATTCAAAGTGTCGGTCTCAGGTAGAAGCTTTTAGATCATCTTGTTCTCTTCCTCAACCCAAAAAATAAACCCTAAATTCGATTTGGAAGTTTATGAGAAATCCTCTGTAATAAAACTCAGACCAATGTGGTCTGTATTATGATGATTGTAATGAACTGTTTTTACACAATACAATATCATTCACATACATACATAGATAAAGAACTTGAATCTTGATCATTGAGGCAAATCTGATTTCTCGAATGTCAAGTTACCAGACTCGTCTCGTTCAAAGAGATGTTCGATTAGTTCGTCCCAACTAACTCTACGGTTCCGTTTCTTCCTGTAAGTTGGTCGAACAGAAGATGATGATGATGATTCACCCACCATTGGTGCAATCAAGTCTGTTTCTTCTTTTTCTTCTTCTTCTTCTTCCTCTGTTTCTTCTTCTTCTTCGGTCTGGTCTTCTTGAGCTTTGTCGAATGTTCCGTACTCAGAGGCCATTGACTCCGCGTGAGGAACATCTAACGTTACTGCTCGTCTTAACGCCGCTCTGTACTCCAAGTTGTGCTCTCTGGCTAATGATTCTTGCCTCTCCATCCTTTGCTTCTCTGGAATCTCCATTTTCTTCTCCTTCTCCATCATTAGCTGAAGAAATTTCGCAGACGCTAGTTAGATTAATAAACGGCAAGGATTTTGCGACTAATGAGGTTGGGGAAAACTTACGTTGAGAGCTCTCTGAGCTTCTCGTTCGATCCAGATGATGGCATGGTCTGAAGTTGCGTTACAAGAAAGAACAATATGCTCGAACCTTCCGTCTACTGGAACTGCTGTCTTCACGACCGGAGGATATCTTCCTAATCTGCAAGAAACAATTACCAAAAACATCATCTTCACAACACATTTAGCTCACATGATGATCACAGAGCAAAACTGTGATGTATCTTTTATGTAATGGCACATAAGACATCTGAAATTGCAAACTAAGTGAGCTCTTTTTATTGAGATTGTCGGTTGCTTCAGAACCATGGTCATTTAAGTTATCTGTGTAAATCTATAGATTTGTGTGTTATTATGTACCTGCAAGGCTTTCTTTCGACGATGTGATACATGCGACCAGGTGCATAAAGCCGTCTAGGATCTTTGAGCATCTTTTGCTCTGGAACACATGTATCCTTCATGCACCTTATGCATAGCAAACATGGCAAACTGTCCAGAGACAAAAACAAAACCCAAATACTAAACACAAACGCATTACATGTAAGCAGAGATATGGACTACAAAACAAAGTGAACTAACCAAAGCTCCTTAAAACTAAAAGAGAATGAGAACTGAGAGTACCATTAGCCTTGAAATTTCCCATAAGAGCATGCAAAACATATAAAGGACAGATTTTTCGGGCTTTTTCTTTTATACTAAGTGGACCGGAGAATGTTGTGTGTTATTGTTGAAAGTTTTGAAAATAAAAGAACATATACTAAACCCTCTGCATAGTATAACTGTCCAAGAAAACACAGATGATTCTATGAGATATGGAATCATAGTGAGATAGGTTTACCAGAACACAGACTTGAATATGTCTTCTAGAGGCGTAGCTGTCCTGGGCAAGAAATCATCCTAAAACAAAGACTTTAGATTTAACATTTGCAATAGCCAAAAACTTGTACCATAAAGTTAGACACACCTGAAGTATGACAGAGTTGATCACATCTGCATATCTGACAGCCAAATTCAACGACATACACCTAGCAGGCGCAATAGCGAAACACCTAACTCTCTTTCTATCAATGTTCCCCAATCTTTCCGGATGCCGAACCACTAACAAAGCCAACATTGTAGCTACACCAGACCCAAGTGAATGTCCAGCAAAAGTCAGAGTATAACTCGGATACTTTTTCACCAATTCTTTCAAAACTTTACATTCCTCATCTAAAACATAACCCGCAGACTTCACCAGCCCGTTGTGCACATAACCGCCATCAAATTTCCTTTCACCAAGCTTATTATCCAAAAGCATCGCATAATCACTCTCTTTCGCCAAATTCAACCCCCGGATCGCAACAACTATATCTTGATGAACATGATCAAGATACAATATATAAGCTGGAGCACGACCCTGAGTATCTTCATAAGTCTTCTTTAGAAGCAACCAATCAGGGTTAATCCCATATCCTTCTGGAGGCTCCCATAAAGGATTTCGAATATCATCCTCGTAAACAGCTAAAATATAACGACAAAACCGAGGAACTGGTTCGAATTCATCAGTTGTTGCAAGCCCCCAATCTTCACTGTCGTGACCAGCCGTGTAAAGGCAACGTTTATAACCCCAACGAGCACAACCAAGACAGTATACACATTCCAAAAGAGGGCAACAACCACATAGAATCGACATGAATAGATACAGAGTTATAACACATTCATCATCATAGACCAGTGAAGCACACCTAACGATCAAAACAGAAACTTTTAATGTTTAAACAAAGAAATTTCAAGACTTTAGTACACCCAACTGAAGAATCTTGGAAGAAGCTAAATTCTGTAGCATTTGTGTTTGGAAATAAGTGACTGAAGCTAAAACCAAAGAAAAAAAAGTCAACTTTGTGAATCGGAAACAATGTAATGGTAATGAAATTGAAGATTGAAGTTCTAATTGCTACTCTATAGAGAAAAACATGGGAAGAGAATTAGATCTCACTACTGAAACACTAATTTTTCTCTTCTCTTCTCTTAAGCTCAAATCAAGATCAATAATTTCGAGAAGGAACTGAAGAATTCGAGAGAAGATAAAGAAGAGAAGGGAAGTGTCTTCCCGTGGAAAACGGAAGAAGAAATGGAAATCATGCCATAGAAGGAGGATTCAAAACTCGCCGGACTCGTGTTAGCTTTGCTTTCTTTATTTGTGGCAGTGACTTTGGGGTTAAATTTGCAGTTGCAGAGCTACTTTGGAGCTTGCTGTGTTGTGTGAAGAAGATATAATATAAATAATACTATTTTTTGACAAAATTTTAGTTATTAGCAGTTAAATTTCGAGATCATTACTGTTAATTTTTGTTTAGTTTGTCCGAAGTCTCTAGATTTAGACAGAGAAAGTAATCACATTACATAATTACAATTAGAAAATGATAATTTAATGGTTGTAGTTGTGTAACTTGTGTTAGTCAAAATAAGTAGTAGTTGATTTTCATCAGTCATATTATTTTTATTGAATAGATTTCATATAACTGTTTGTAACTGTAAATTCTGAAAACTAATGTAGATTTTAATCCAAATTTTTATGTACGAAAAAAATATTAAATGAAATAGTTTTTTTCCTTTCACAAACAGAAATCCACATTGGCTTTTTAAAACGATTTTTGATGATACTATCCATCATCTGGTTCTAATTTAGTTTATAAAAATAAAAATAAAGTACAGCAATTGTAAATTCGTTTCAGTCATTTCATCTAAGTTTTAGGTGGTAGCTACTAATTCCATCTACTGGCTTTACTATCACCTAGAGGTCAAAAGAGTCATGGAATGGAAAACAATTAACTTTGGTTTGCCTTTGGGACCAATTGCAATTATTGTGATGTGTTTCAAATTACAGGACTTGCAAGTTCAGATTTTCAAGTATTACATTCAATTACGCAATCAAATTCATTAAAGTAGCAACTGGCCTATCAAGCTTTTGTTAGAAAAAAAAAAAGCCATTGTGCAATCAATTCATTTCATTTCTTCTAAAAAGTCGTTACTATTCAAAACCTAAGTTCAGCTTCTGTTAGAAAAATATATATACCATAGTAAACGTTCAAAATGTAACCAAGATTTAGCAACATATCGATAGGTAAAGTTGAGAATTTTACATTTCCCAATGGCCAACACACACCAGACTACCATAGTATATAGAAGTTCAAGAGATTAAATAGATTCAAACACAAAATCACATGGATTTGAAGCCCTGCCCAAACTAGCCAACTCGTTGAGCATTTCACGTCTCTTTTTTAATTTTTTGAGCTTTACCGGTTCGATGGGTTTTGTGGAGAAAGTTGCTTTCTTCAAACTTCCTGTGTTTCTTAGGATGTATGTGGCCACTTCTTTCTCATCTTTTCGTTGCCATTCGTATCCTGTCCACACGAATGTCTCAAGATCAAATAACAAACATTCCGGTACACATTTCGGCTGAATCCATTTTTGGCCGATCCGATTTCCTTTGGCAGAAGACATATCTAGCTGAGAACAATGCAATTTATGTAATATTAGATCAACAAAGTAGTATATGAAAGTAGAGTTTTGGAAAAGACAAAAAAGGTAGCTGACTAATGAAATTGCTTACGTCGGTGAGCTTGAGGATTTGCAACTTAGGAGAAGCTTCAAGCATGGGCGTAAGTAGATTCCACCACTTCCTTTTATTTGTATGTAACTCTAAAGATAAAAGCTGATGGAAGAAGATGCTACCACTAGGATACTTGATCTGTGCATGAGGTAACATTAATTAGTACACAAAACAGCGTTAGCTCAATTGCAAAGAAAACACGTCCAAAATCTAAAAATTACCTCTAAGGGTGATAAGTGTAAGGAAAGACGTATGACTGAAGTTAGAGATTCTAAAATGTTCTCATTGTTTATGTTAGAAACGTCACTGACGTTTGCCTCCGCCAGCTCTGGTGGTTTCTCAATCAGACAGGACTCAAGATACTTAAACCCTCTGATATTCAAGTATTTCAAAGAAGGGGCATTTATCACATAGCCTTCATGCCATATTCCCTCATCCACTATGGTTGATCTCTGTAATGATGACACCGCGATAGTGAAAGTTTCCACACATTCTCTGTATCTATGCACTACCAAATCCCCAAGACTAGGACAACCACATAAAAGGTTGCAAACAGAGTCTTCGTCATAAAAATGTACTTTGTAAAGGTACATCTTTCTAAGGGAATTAAAACAAACCCGAGAAGGAAAATATAAAAGAATGGAATGCTTGAGTGTTAAGGTCTCGAGTGTATTATTATCATAGATGCACAAAACATCCGGAAATCTGACTGTACAATACAGATAATCACAGTTAAAATAATAGTCAAGATCCAATACCAAATTACGCACATGGCGTGCAAATGCAATTCCAACCAATATTCCAAGATCCGAAGCATCATGTTCAGCTCTAATTTCCAAATGTAAACTCTCTAGAAACGGAGCTTTATGTAACATAAAGAATCTGTAAACATCCTCTGAAAATATACTGTGATACTCAGAATCAAACTGGATATTTTTCACCGTCTTCCAAACATATCTCCAACGTTTAGACAAAATACTCGTGGCTACAACAGTTTTTGTCGGAAGTGAAGACATTATCTCCACAAGTAAAGCTTCATGCAACTCACTGATTCTGTCCTTATTCACAACATTCCTCAAACATTCACCACTGCTTTCGCTGTAAACATAAATTAAAGAAAGAAAGAAAAAGAGTTTTAGCGTTCAAAGATTTACTAGGATCAGAGCATACAGCTAATAAAACCATAGAAAGGGATTCCAGAAAAAAAATAAAAATAAACGAAACAAAGCAACATACCATTGTGGTTCCATCGTCGTTAATAGAGACGGTAAAAATCCTTCTGATTGTTTTCTGTATGCCTTCTCAGTGCTCCAAAGGCAAACGCAGACAAACAAAAAGCGTAGATATGGTAACGCCAAAACGTTAGCAAAACAGAAAACACTAAAAAAGTATCAACATGCAGTGAGTTTTATTTTGGGTTCGACGTTAAACTGAATACACAAGCCAAAAAAAAAATGAAAGGGAATAGGTGCATTTGGTCTCGACCCATGCCCAATATATATAAATTGAGAAATTTTTTGTTTTTGGGCAAACTACTATATAAGTTGAGATTTTTATGAGTATTTATTATTATATTCAATCTTATATTTTAAATGATTATGAGTTTTTAATGATTATGATGATTTTAGGTGAATTAAAGGAAGTTGTTATAATATTTGTAAAAAACCTTCCAAATCTTATTTAACATCATGAAATTTAGATTAAATTTGTAAATCTTCTAAAATCTCATAGAGCATCTACATTGGATAATTCATGAAGGTGTCGTAACTCGTAACTATAATTAAAATAAAATTTAATATTTTTTTTGTCGTTTAGATTTATTATTAATTGCAAATTATGAGAACTGTTACATAAACGATTCTACAACTGACAATTTCTGCCGACCATTAGTAGATCTACGACAGACTACGCTTCCTTCTTCATGATCTTGATGAATACCTTCAATGATCCACGATCTGGCGACACTTCATTCTCTGCGTAGAATCCTGGCGCACGACTATAATTGTACATCGCTGGAGATCTCCTGCACACTTGCCTCCATTAATCTGCAAATTTGATAATAAATTGCAATATCTGGGACACGAACCCCACTCGGCTTCGGCGGAAGACCTTGACACCAGACCTCTTAGTGTAGAAGCATTAATCAACCATTGGTCAACCAACAACCAATGGGCCAAGGAAGCTTCCACGATAAAATTTAATACTTATTTAATTTAAAACAATAAAAAAAAAAAAAAATTACAAATGAAGAAAAAAAAATAATGACATGGTGCCACCTAAAATGTGTCTCTAAGAAAACATGGTTCTCTTCTATTCATACATTTATTTATTTTTTATTGTTTTAATATTTAAAGACACTCAACTTTTTTTTTCCAATGGAGGTGGTCTTCAAGCCACAAAAAAAAAATTAATGTTTAATGTATCCAACAACAATACAGTTTATATCCAAACCACTAGTTCAATAACCCTGAATTTTAAAAAGTCTTTTAAAATTCATGGTTGTATACATAGAATTTTTAACACAAACCAATTCATATTTACTCCTTGACCAGTCTTCTGAATCTCTTCCTCAAAATGTCACCAAAATATTAGCATCCTATAAATAAGTAGAGATGAGAATTATACATTTCCCAACGGCCAAAAACAACATTGTAAAAGTTCAAGAGATTAAATTGATTCCAACACAATGTGACGTGAATTTGAAGCCCAGACCAATTACTAGCCAACGTTGAGCATCTCACGTCTCTATGCCAACTTTTTGAGCTTAACTGTGGAAAAAAATGCTTTCTTCAACCATCTTACGTTTCTTAATGTATATGGCCACTTCTTTTCCATCTCCTCGTTGCCATTCATATCCTACCCACATGAATGTGTCAAGATGGAACAACAAACATTCCGGTACACATTTTGGTGGATTTCATCTTCGTTCGTCCAGAAAATTATGGTCAACACCTAGATATAGCTGAGAACAATGCAATTTATGTAAATATAGATCAACAAAGTACCTAAAAGTGGAGCTGTGGATAAAAAGAAAAGGTAGTTGACTATTGAAATTGCTTACATTGGTGAGCTTGAGGATTTGTAATTTAGGAGAACTCTCAAGCATATTCGAAAGTAGAATCCACCACTCTCTTTCGTGTGTACGTAGCTCTAAATAGATTAGCTGATAAAAAATTTTACCAGTAGTAACTTCAATCTCTTAAAATTACCTCTAAGGGTGATAATAAGTGTATGGAAAGACGTTTGGCTGAAGTTAGAAAACTTGCAAGTTCAGATTTTCAAGCACTAGATTAATTTATGCAATCTATTCATTTAAGTAGCAAGTGCAACGCAATAGTGAAAGTCTCACTGATGCTTCGATGCACTACCAAATCTCCAAGACTAGGACAGCAACCTAAAAGGTTGCAAACAGAGACTTTGCCATAAAAATGTACTTTGTAAAGGTGCAGAACTATATGATCTCGATTGGCCGACTTCCCGAAAACTATATGATCTTTCTACTGATACATATAACAAGAAAATGAAAAGAAACTTTTGCTCACAATCTAAAATTTAGAGGTTTAACACGTCAATTAATTTTTACTATGGACGATATGGAACTGCTTCTAAATTCACGAGGCAGATTTATTTGTTCTTGTGAATTATCTAATTGCTCATGTTTCAAACATTTTAAAAAAGCAAAGGGAGATGTTACTGCTATAACATTTGTTTCTATTACACCTAAATACAGAGGTAGACAAAACATTTGTGTTTGTGCAGATGCACAGAGGTCATCTACTGGCTTTAGTATCCACCTAGAGGTCAAAAGAGTCATGGAATAGAAAACAACTTTGGTTTGCCTTTGGGACCAATTGCAATTATTTTGTGATGGGTTTCAAATTACAGAACTTGCAAGTTCAGATTTTCAATTAAATTATGCAATCAAATTCATTTGAGTAGCAAATAGCCTATCAAGCTTTTGTTAGAAAAAGCGAGTGTGCAATCAATTCATTTCATTTCTGTACTATTCAAAACATAAGTTCAGCATTTGTTTGTCCAAAAAAAAAAAAAAAAAAAAAAAGTTCAGCTTTTGTTAGAAAAATATATATACCATAGTATAAGTTCAAAATGTAACCAAGATTTGGCATCCTATCGATAGATAAAGTTGAGAATTTTACATTTCCCAATAGCCAACAAACCATATATAGTATATAGAAGTTAAAAAGATTAAATATATTCAAACACAAAATCACATGGATTTGAAGCCCTGCCCAAACTAGCCAACTCGTTGAGTATCTGACGTCTCTTTTTTAATTTTTTGAGCTTTACCGGTTCGATGGGTTTTGTGGAGAAAGTTGCTTTCTTCAAACTTCCTGTATTTCTTAGGATGTATGTGGCCACTTCTTTCTCATCTCTTCGTTGCCATTCGAATCCTGTCCACATGAATGTCTCAAGATGGCATAACAAACAATCCGGTACATATTTCGGCTAATTCCATTTTTGGCCGATCCGATTTCCTTTGGCAGAATACATGGATAGCTGAGTAACAATGCAATTTATATGTAATATTAGATCAACAAAGTACCTGAAAGTGGAGTTTTGGGAGAAAACAAAAAAACGTAGATGACTAATGAAATTGCTTACGTCGGTGAGCTTGAGGATTTGCAACTTAGGAGAAGCTTCAAGCATGGGCGTAAGTAGATTCCACCACTTCTTTTTATGGGTATGTAGTTCCAAAGATAAAAGCTGATGGAAGATGCTACCACTAGGATACTTGATCTGTGCATGAGCTAACATTAATTAGTACACAAAACAGCATTAGCTCAATTCGAAAGAAAACACGTCGAAAATCTAAAATCTAAGAATTATCACTAAGGGTGATAAGCGTAAGGAAAGACGTTTGGCTGAAGTTAGAGATTCCAAAATGTTTTCATTCTTTATATCAGAAACGTCACTGACTTTTGCCTCCTCCAACTCTCGCTCTTTCTCAATCAGACAAGACTCAAGATAATTGAACCCTCTCATGTTCAAGTATTTCAAAGAAGCTGCATTTATCACATAGCATCCATACCCCATTACCTCATCATCTATGGTTAATCTCTGTAATGATGGCACGGCGATAGTGAAAGTTTCCACACAATATATGTTTCTATGCACTACCAAATCCCCAAGACTAGGACATCCACTTAAAAGGTTGCAAACAGAGTCTTCGTCATAAAAATATACTTCGTAAAGGTACAGCTTTCTAAGGGAATTAAAACAAACCCGAGAAGGAAAATCTAAAAGAATGGAATTCTTGAGTGTTAAGGTCTCAAGTGTATTATTATCATAGATGCACAAAACACTCGGAAATCTGACTGAACGGTGCACATAATCAGAGTAAACGTTATAATCAAGATCTAGTACCAAATTACGTACATGGCGTGCAAATGTAATTCCAACCAATATTCCAAGATTCAAAGCATCACGTTCATCTCTAATTTCCAAATGCAAACTCTCTAGAAACGGAGTTTTATGTAACATAAAAATTTTGTAAACATCCTCTGAAAATAAACGTTCATGATACTTAGAATCAAACTTGAGATTTTGCACCATCTTCCAAACATGTCTCCAACGTTTAGACAAAACACTCGTGGCTACGACTGTTTTTGTCGGAAGTGAAGACATTACCTCCACAAGTAAAGCTTCATGCAACTCACTGATTCTGTCCTCATTCACAACATTCCTCAAACTTTCACCACCACTTTCGCTGTAAACATAAATTAAAGAAAGAAAGAAAAAAGAGTTTTAGGGTTCAAAGATTTATTAGGATTAGAGCTTACAGCTAATAAAACCCTTGAAAGGGATTTGATAGAAAAGAAAAAAAAAAAAGGACATAAACGAAACGAAGCAACATACCATTGTGGTTCCATCGTCCTTAATAGAGACAACAATTTGCTAAAAGTAAAAACTCTTCAGATTTTATCCCTTCTCAGACTAATACACGAATCCGGCAAAAAGCTTAGATATGATAACGCCAAAACGGTGAAGATTCAGCTTCAAAACGTCAGAAAACCCTAAATAGTTAAACAGCTAAACAACAAGGGGAATGGGTTTGACAATTAAACTACAGTATTCACAAGCCGAAGAAAAGGGGAATGTGTGTATGTGGGCTCGACCCAGGCCCAATAGATATAAGTTGAATATATATTTTTAAGTATTTAATGTTCAAGTTTTTTGGTTTGTCTAAGTTCTTTAGATTTGGCTTTGTTGGTAAAATAGACACATTTTGGAAAGTAATTTGAAGAGTAGACACTTTTCAAAAATAATTAGAAAAATAGGTATTTTTACTTTTTGTGAGATAGAAGATACAGACAGAATAGCTCTAATATAAGATAAGACAAAATAACTCTAATAGGAATAAGACAAAAATTTGTTAAAAGTCAGATTTGTCCTTCATTCTAAAATGAAAATTTTTTTGAGCGAGTCTTTTATTTTGTACAACATCATGGGCAACGATGTTGTACACTGACGGTTGTACACTTTCACGTACACCAATCTCGTACACCATCATTCTAAACACTATTTTGTACACTAACAATTGTACACCACTTTCGTGTACACCAATCTCGTACACCATCATTCTAAACACTATTTTGTACACTAACACTTGTACACCACACTATCATGTATACCCACATTAACGTTTGGCAAAGTAGACACTTTTTGGATAGTAAACCATCTTGTACATTCTTAAACCATCAAATACACTAATGCTCGTACACCAATATGTGTACACTATCTCATAGACCATCACGTACACCGACAAAAATGGTTCTCTCTTTTATATAGTGTTGTAGACGGCACACGAGGTGGTTTATAGCGCGACACACAATCTCGTCGTTTTAGGTACACTATCAATATCGTGTACATCACTTTTTACATCATCTTCATACACCATCATATTTTGTAGTTGTACACCACTGTAGATTGTTGTTTGTATAACATTTTGTACACCTTCATACTTTGTATACCACTTCTTACATCAATATCATACATTGCTTTACATTATTGTCGTACACTATCGTATGTATACCACTTTTAACATTATCATGTACACCTTCAAATTGAGATTAAAAACTAAATTCACATAAAATAGCTAATTTGAACTTTTTAGATTCACATTAAAAAAGTTAAAAATTAATATGTTATTAGGATTAAAAAGTTTATGAAGAACTTTTAACAAAACAATTTAAAAAGATAAAATTGAAAACAAGAAAGAAAAAAGAATAAAGTGAATATATGTGAGAAACAACAAATAAGGGCAACTATGTCATTACACAAAATCCTCTCTAATAGAGAGAAAAGTGTCTATTTTGCCAATTATTTATGAGAGGTGTCTATTTTTCAAATTATTATTGTCAAAGGTGTCTAGTTTGCCAACTTTTTCTTTAGATTTTTAGATAGTGTAAGAATCAACTTTCATTGGTTTAACAGTGGTATGCATAGATCATTGGGACTAAAAGTTTATATCCTATAATTCATCTCCTACTAATTGTTCTCTATATCTCTTGTTCAACCTTTTTATTTATTTCACATTAACTCCTTGAACTGTCTTCGGAATTCTTCGTCAAAAGGTCACCAAATATTAACATGCGATATATAGGTAGAGCTGAGAATTATACATTTCACAAAGGCCAAAAAAACATAGTAAAAGTTTAAGAGATTCGAACACACGGTGGCATGAATTTGAAGCCCAGACCACACTAGCCAACTCCTTGAGCATCTCACGACTCACGTCTCTTTTCCAACTTTTGGAGCTTTTCCGTGTGGATGGGGTATCCAACTTTTCTAGAAAGTCGTCGTTATTATTCAAAATCAAAATTCTTCAAAATGTAACCAAGATTTAGCATCCAATCACTAAGTAAAGTTGAGAGTTTTACACTTTTCCAATGGCCAAACATCATAGTAAAAAAAAGTACAAGAGACTACACTGATTCTAAGACGAGGTGACATGAATCTGAAGACAAGTCGTTGAGCATCTCACGTCTCTTTTCTTCGAGCTTTTCCGAATTCCCGAATTTGGAGAAAGTTGCTTTCTTCAAGCATTTTGCATTATTAAGGATGTACGTAGCCACTTCTTTCTCATCTTCTCGTTGCCATTTGTATCCTATCCAGACGAATGTTTCAAGATGGAGCAACAAACATTCCGGTACATAATCTGGTGGATTCCATTTCTTTTTGTCCGGAAATTTATGATTAACACCTAGATATAGCTGAGAACAATGGAGTTTATGTAAATATAGGTCAACAAAGTACCTAAAAGTGGAGCTGCAGAAACAAACAAAAAACGTAGTTGACTAGTGAATTTGCTTACATCGGTGAGCTTGAGGATTTGTAATTTAGGAGAACTATCGAGCATGATCGAAAGCAGATTCCACCACTCTGTTTCATGTGTACGTAGCTCTAAATAAACTAGCTGATCGAAGATTTCACCATTAAGACCATCAATCTGTGCATGAGGCAACATAAGTACACAAAACAGTGTTAGTCCAACTGCAGAGAAAATAACCAAGCAAAAATGTTCAATCTTAGACTTACCTCTAAGGGTGATAAGTGTAAGGAAAGACGTTTGGCTGAAGTTAGAGACACCAGAATGTTCTCATTAGCTATATCAGAAACGTCACTGATTTTTGCCTCCACCAGCTCTGGCGCTTCCTCAATGAAAAAATACTCAAGTTCTTTAAACCCGTCGATGTCCAAGTATTTCAAAGCAGGGGCATTTATCACATAGCCTCCATCTCCATTACCTCCTTCTTGGTTAAGATCTTTAATAGTTAATCTCTGTAATGATGGCACCACAATAGTGAAATTCTCCACATCGGCATTGCTATATCTATGCACAACCAAATCTTCAAGACTTGGACAGCCACATAAAAAGTTGGAAACAGATTCTTCGTCTTTGAATTGTACTTCGTAAAGGTACAGCTTTCTAAGGGACTTCAAACAAACCCGAGGAGGAAACTCTAAATCAATAGCATACTTGAGTTTCAAGATCTCAAGTGTATCATTACAGCTAAACAAAACACTCGGAAGAATGACTATCTGCTCCTCATGATAGACACTAACCAGTACCAATTTACGCACACGACGTGCAAATGCAGTTGCAATCCATATTCCAACATCCATACAATCAGTTCTACCTTCAAATGTCAAATGCAAACTCTCTAGAACCGGAGCTTTATGTAAACTCAGAGACCTGTAAACATTCTCTGAAAATACATGGGCATCCATATCAGCCAAAGGATGAAACTTGTAATCAAACTTGAGTTTTGGCACCATCTTCCAAAGAGATCTCCAACGTTTAGACAAAACACTTGTGGCTATGGCTTTTTCTGTCGGAAGTGAAGACAATATATGCAAAAGCAAAGCTTCAGGCAAGTCACTGATTCTGTCCTTATTCATAGCATTTCGATTACTCAATCCTAAACCATCGGTTTTGCTGTCAAAAATCATAGAAACAAAAAAAAAAAAAAAAAAAAGATAAGAATTTTAGGGTTCAAAGAATTAGGGTTTGATCTTTATAACAGCTAAGAAAACCATAAACGAAACAAAGATACTTACAGTTTCTGTTCCATTGTAGGCGAGGTATCAATTTGCTAAAAAGACCTTCAGATTTTGCATAACTACGAACAGCTTCAAACGCAAACGCAGCCTAACACAAGAATCCGGCTAAAGCTAAGAAATGATGACGATTCAGCTTTCACTTGTGTCAATTACCCAAATTGCAAACCCTAACAGAGTTTCAAAACTAATGCATTAGCAACAGTTAGAGAATAGAGATCACACTCGAGCACATGATCATGACAAGGAAAGAGGACGAAAAGTGAAGAAAGAGGACGAAAAATGAAAACCAATGGTTCAAAATCGAATCCGAATAGGCGAATACATATTCACAAGGAAAGGAAGTCTTCCTTAAAATGGGCTTATTAACTCGGCCCTTTGTAAGTAAGTCCCAATCACTTTACTTACAGATGTGTTATTGCCTTTTTACGTTAAATATTGGGCAGAGATGAAATGCAGACCATCTTGCGTTTATCATTTTTCTGCTTTTAGGTAGAGATTAGAGATACTAGATAGTTCATTGTTAAATCCATTCCTTAGGGCTTGACTGGTTTAAACGATGCGGTTGCAGTTGTGGGAGTTTGCGAAAGCAGGCGGTTGCGATTTCAAGCGTTATTTAGTGTTTAGACCGACTGAGGATAAATATTTGCTTCCCCAACTCTCTAACTGCTTTTTCTTTTGTTCTACCTTTATAGTTCATTGTTAAATCCACTGCTTGAATTGTCTTCAAAATATCTTCCACAGAATGTCAACAAATATTAGCATCCCACTAAATAGGTAAAGTTGAGAATTTTACATTTCCCAATGGCCAAAACACAGATACTAAAAGTTCAGCAGATTAGATAGAATCGAACACAAGGTGACATGAATTTGAAGCCCTGCTCACATTAGCCAACTCGTTGAGCATCTCACGTCTCTTTTCCAACTTTTCGTTCTTATCCGGATCAATGCTCTTTGTGGAGAAAGTTGCTTTCTTCAAACATCTTGCGTTTTCTAGGATGTATGTGGCCACTTCTTTCTCATCTCCTTGTTGCCATTCGTATCCTATCCACAAGAGTTTCTCAAGATGGAACAACAAACATTCCGCTACACATTTTGGTGGATTCCATTTCAGTCCGTATAGACCTTTTTCTTCATCACACAGATATGCCTGAGAACAATGTAATTTATCATAATGTAATACAAAATCAACAAAGTACTTGAAAGTGGAGCTTTGGAAAAAAAGAAAAAAAAAACAGGACTAATAAGATTTGCTTACATTGTTGAGCTTGAGAATTTGTAATTTAGGAGAGCTATCGAGCATGAGCGAAAGTAGTTTCCACCACATACTATTATATGTACCTAGCTCTAAATATACTAGCTGATAGAAGATTTTACCAGTAGGAAATTTAATCTGTGCATGCAGCATGAGGCAACATAAATAGAAGACAGTGTTAGTCCAACTGTAGAGTAACCCAGTGAAAATCTTCAAATCTTAAATTTACCTCAAGGAGTGATAAGTCTAAGGAAAGACGTTTGACAGAAGTTAGAGATTCCAGAATGTTCTCATTGGTTATATCAATAACGTCAATGATTTCTGCCTCCACCAGCTCTGGTGCATTCTCAATCAGACAAAACTCAAGCCAGTCGAACCCGTCGATGTTCAAGTATTTCAAACAAGGGGCATTTATCACATAGCCTCCCTTACCTCTTCCTGGGTTAGAATCTTCTATGGTTAGTCTCTGTAATGATGGCACCGCAATAGTGAAAGTCTTCACATCGACATTGCTATCTCTATGCACAACCAAATCTTCAAGACAAGGGCAGCCACCTAAAAGGTTGGAAACTGATTCTTCGTCTTTGAATTTTACATGGTAAAGGCGCAGCTCTCTCAGTGACTTTAAACAAACCGGAGAAGGAAGGTCTAAAAGAATATATAATTCTGGATTTTCAAGATCTCAAGTGTATCATTACTAAACAAAACACTTGGAAATATAATCCTCTCATTACCCACATCAAAGAAACTAATCAATACCAATTTACGCACATGACGTGCAAATGCAGTTGCAATCCACATTCCAATATTCAAGCCATCAGTTCCACGTATAATGTTCAAATGCAAACTTTCTAGAACATGAGCTTTATGTAGAGTCAAGGACCTGTAAACATTATCTGAAAATGTTTGGTGATACTTAGATTCAATCTTAGGATCAAACTCAAAATCAAACTTGAGATTTGGCACCATCTTCCATAGAGATCTCCAACGTTTAGACAAAACACTCGTGGCTATGACATTTTCTGTTGGAATATAAGACAATATCTGCAGAAGCAAATCTTCAGGCAACTCACTGATTCTGTCATCCTTCATAGCCCCTTGATTTCTCAAACTTAAACCATCAGTTTTGCTGTCAAAAATCAAAGGACGAAAATATACAAAAAAAAATTAGGGTTCAAATTAGAATTAGGGTTGGATCTTTATACAGCTAAACAAAAAATTAACGATGTAAAAGATACATACAACTGTTGTTCCGTTCTTTTGTAGTTAATTAGAGATATAAATTCTCTAAAAATCCTTCCCAGTGCTAATGCGTTACGAACAGTTCCAAACGCAAACGCAGTCGAACACAAAAATCCGGCTAAAAACTAAGATATGATGACAATAATTAATCTCAAAACGATTCACTTGTGTTGTCATAAACCAAATTGGAAACCCTAACAGAGTTTCGAAACTACTGCATTAGAGATTCCACTCGAGAACATGATCTGGAGAAGAAAGAGGACGACGAGTGACTTACAAGTTACAAGTATGAGACCGATGACTTTTTTTAGGGTTAAAAAGCGAATCCAAATCCAACATATTCACAAGCAAAGAGGTATTTTCTAATGGGCACTACTAACTCGGCTTTTCTAAAGCCAAGTCCTAAATCCACGAACAGCTAGGCTTTGGTTGGCAAAATAACCTTACCAAAAAAACAGAATCAAACCAAACCGAACGACATTTCTAATGGGCTTATGTTACATGATTTATATTTCTAAAAAGTTTTTGCACCACTTCCATTTATTTTTTTATCATGGACGGACACGAAACTCCTGCTAAATTCAGAGTTGGAAAATATATGTGAAGTAATTTTCTCCTATGTTTCAAAACGTTTGAGAAAACCAATTGGAGATGTATATTTAATAGCTGGAGCATGTTGGAATTGAACCTTTGATTAAACCTGCAACAAAGAAGAAAGTTTCAAGTGAGGAGAAGAAGAAGAACAGAGTAAAGCGAAGAAGAAGAAAGGATAAGAAGAAGTTGTCACACGAGGAAGAAGAGTCAATGAGACAAGATAACAAGTCAACACAAGAATAAACGAGTAACATATAACAAACTTTGGTTTGTCTTTGGGACCAATTTGTAATCACTTCCTAATTATTCAAACAAATCATTTAACTTGTTTGCTTAAATCAATAAGTAAAAAATGGCCTATCCAAAATAGCAACATTATATATTACCTGTTTTTTTTATTCATCTAAAATGCCGCTACTGTTCAAAAACCTAAATATATAGCTCAGAAAACTTGACTAAGTTTCTGACTTTTTTTAGGTCCCATTGTCACATTCTGGAAGATTTTAAGAACATGTCCTAATTGTAAGAATACGTATCATATTCGAACTCGAGGTGACACGAATCTGAAGCCCTGTCCTCGGCAGCCAATTCGTTGAGCATCTCACGTCTCTTTTTCATTTCCTCAAGCTTTTTAGATTCGATAGGTTTTGTGGATAGAGTTGCTTTCTTCAAGAGTCTTGCGTTCTTAAGGATGTATTTGGCCACTTCTTTCTCATCTTCTCGTTGCCATTCATATCTTGTCCACACAAATGCCTCAAGATGGAACAACAAACATTCAGGTACACACTTTGGTTGATTCCATTTCCAGTCCACCGGTAAATCTTTATTAATATACTGCCTTGACTGAAATCAATGTAAAATTCAAGATCATCATTATACCTGAAAGAGCAATGGAAAAAAAAAAGTAGCTGGCTAATGAAATGGCTTACGTCGATGAGCTTGAGGATTTGTAATTTAGGAGAACTATCAAGCATGAGTGAAAGTAAATTCCACCACTCTTCTTCATCTGTACGCAGCTCCAAAGATAGAAGCTGATAGAAGATTTTACCAGTAGGATACTTAATCTGTGCATGAAGGCACCATTAGTACAGAAAACAATGTTAGCACAGTTGCAGATAAAACCCCGTGAAAATCTTAAATGAATCTAAAAATACCTTTAAGGGTGATAAGTACAAGGAAAGGCGTTTGGCTGAAGTTAGAGATTCCAGAATGTTCTCATTGGTTATATCAGAAACTTCAGTGATTTCTGCCTCCACCAGCTCCGGCGCATTCTCAATCAGACAAAAATCAAGAACATTAAACCCCTTGAGGTCCAAGTATTTCAAAGAAGGAGTATTTATCACATAGCCTCCAACACCTTCTCCACAGTAATCATCATATATGGTTAGTCTCTGTAATGATGGCACAGCAATAGTGAAAGACTCCACATCCATAAAGCTTTCTCGATGAACAATCAAATTCTCAAGACAAGGGCAGCCACAGAAAAGGTTGGAAACAGATTCTTCGTCTTTGAAGTTCACATGGTCAAGGTACAGCTCTCTCAGGGACTTGAAACAAACCGGATAAGGAAGGTCAAAAAGAATTGAACCCTTGAGTATCAAGCTCTCGAGTGTGTTATTACATCTACACAAAACACCCGGAAATTTTACTGAGCCTTCCTCCTCAAAGTAAAACTCCAGTACCAACTTACGCACATGTCGTGCAAATGCAATTCCAATCCATAATCCCAACTCCAAAGCATCACATTTATATCCGACTTCCAAATGCAAACTCTCTAGAACCGGAGCTTTATGTAAAATCAAAGATCTACAAACATTCTCTGAAAATGTTCGGTGAAACTTAGAATCAAACTTGAGATTTGGCAACATCTTCCAGAGAGATTTCCAACTTTTGGACAAAACACTAGTGGCTATGGCAGTTTCTGTTGGAAGTGAAGACAATATGTGTAGAAGCAAAGGTTTAGGCAACTCACTGATCCTGTTGTCCTTATTCACTACATCTCGATTTCTCAAACCTTCTCCACCGATTTTGCTGTAAAAAGATAAAGAGTTTTAGGATTCAAGGATTAGTGTTAAGAAAGGGATTTCTAGCCAAAAAATAAACGAAGAAAAAACATACCATTTTTGTTCCATTGTCGATTTGTCGTTAATAGAAACCAACAATTTGGTACAAATCTTTAGGATTGCGAACGCTCCAAACGCAACCGAACAAACGAATCGAGCTAGGGCTTAGGTATGATAATTGGTGACGACATTCAGCTTCAAAAACTATCCTCTTGTTGCAAAATCAATAAAAGGACTAGCGAGTCACAAAACCCTAACAGAGAGTGACAACAGTGTGATGAAGATGAGAGAAGTCGATGAGACGAGTGTGAGAAATTGAGACAGATCATTTTCCTTGGGATTTTTTAAAATCAAACCGATTCCAGCAAATTTACAGGCCGAACAAAAAAAGACAAAAGGCTTATAAATGGGTTTGTTTGGTCTCCATATAGGCCCATTTATCTAATACCTGAGAATTGAGAGATTTTTATTTTTTTTCACACTCTCATTCATTTTTGTTTTGGACAACATGGAGAACTGCTGTTATATTCAGGAGGAGACGAAAATAATATGATTTGCTTTTGTGAACTAAATTACATATATACAACTGCTCTCGTGTTTCAAAACATTTGAGAAAACCAATATGAGATGATGTTAATATGTTATGGCTAATACATTTGTCTAAATTCAGAGCTTCCTTACTCATCTCTTACTGTTTGGCTGCTTGTGCTCTATTTCCCTTGTTCATCCTTTTTTTCCCCTCTCCAAACCGCAGGAGATAGTTGCCCATCATATGGCACAACAACTTGCCTCTATGTTAGGCTCACTCCGGGCACTCGCGCAGATTCGAATCACTAATAATTTTACTTTACTTACTCCTTGAATTATCTTCTGAATCTCTTCCTCACAATGTAACCAATATTTAATGTCCCATCAATAGGTAAAGTTGAATTTTGGCCAAACATCATAGTAAAATAGTTAAAGAGATTACACGGATTCAAACACGAGGCGACATGACTTTGAAGCCCTGGCCTCACAAGCCAACTGGTTGAGTATCTCCATTCTCTTTTCCAACTTCTTGAGGTTTTCGGGTATGATGGATTTTGTGATGAAAGTTGCTTTCTTCAACTGTCTTGCGTTTTTTAGAATGTATGTAGCCACGTCTTTCTCATCTTCTCGTTGCCACTCATATCTTGTCCACACAAATGTCTCAAGATGAAACAACAAACATTCAGGTACATATTTGGGTCGACTCCATTCCCAGCCCACCGGACAATCATCTCTAGCAAATCGATATGGCTGAGAACAATGCAATTAAAGGACATTAAAATACTTGAAAGTAGAGAACTGGAAAAAAGTAGTTGACTAATGAAATGGCTTACATCGATGAGCTTAAGAATTTGTAATTTGGGAGAACTATCGAGCATGAACGAAAGTAGATTCCACCACTCATAGCTAAATGTACGAAGCTCCAAAGATAAAAGCTGGTAGAAGATTTTACCAATAGGATACTTAATCTGTGCATGAGGCAACATTGGTACACACAAAACAACGTTAGCAACGTTAGCCCAATTGCAGATAAAACCTTCTGAAAATCTTAAATCTTAAATTTACCTTTAACGGTGATAAGTTTATGGAAAGACGTTTGGCTGAAGTTAGAGATTCCAAAATGTTCTCATTGGCTATTTCAAAAATGTCAGAGATTTTGCCCTCCACCAGCTCTGGCGCTTTCTCAATCAAACAAAACTCAAGACCATTAAACCCGCCGATGTTCAAGTATTTCAAAGAAGGAGCATTTATCACATAGCCTCCAACACCTTCTCCACAGTAATCATCATATATGGTTAGTCTCTGTAATGATGGCACCGCAATAGTGAAAGTCTCCACATCGGTACAGCTTTCTCGATGCACAAACAAATCTTCAAGACTAGAGCAGCCACATAAAAGGTTGCAAACAGATTCTTCGTCTTTGAATTTCACATGGTAGAGATGCAGCTTTCTAAGAGACTTCAAACAAACTAGAGAAGGAAAATCTAAAAGAATGCAAGACTTGAGTTTCAAGATTTCAAGTGTATCATTAAAACTACACCAACCACTCGGAATTCTTACTAAGCTTTCCTCCTGAAATACAAACTTCAGTGTCAATTTACGCACATTACGTGCAATTGCAATTCCAATCCATAATCCCATCTCTAAAGCATCACCCTTATCTTCAACTCTCAAATGCAAACTATCTAGAACAGGAGCTTTATGTGAAATCAAAGATCTACAAACATTCTCTGAAAATGTTTGGTGATACCTAGAATCAAACTTGAGTTTTGGCAACATCTTCCAGAGAGATTTCCAACTTTTGGACAAAACAGTAGTAGCTATGACAGTTTCTGTTGGAAGTGAAGACAATATGTGTAGAAGCAAAGCTTCAGGCAACTCACTGAGCCTGTCCTCCTCATTCACTAAACCTCGATTTCCCAATCCTTCACCACCGATTTTGCTGTCAAAAAAAAAAAAAAAAAAAAAAGAATCAGAAAACCATAGAAAGGGATTCCGAGAAAAACATAAACAAAACAAAGAAACATACCATTTTTGTTCCATTTTCGTTAAACAGAGACAACAGTTTTGCTACAAATCCTTCAGATTACGAACCGCTCCAAACTCAATGAGATTCTGGAGAACAAAGAAGACGACGGAACTAACAGATGTGAGAGAGAAAGAAAAATCGAACCAAATCAAATCCAAAATAAAAACATTGACAAGCCCAAAAGAAAAACATTTTAATTTGTTTGATTCCGGCCCAGGCCCAATTACAGGAATAGTTGAACTGAGTTTAGGTCTTCACTATTTAAAGCTCGTAAACCCTAGTCTTGGATACACTTCAGTCCAGCCGCGAAGAAGCTTTTCTCTCTGTGAGTTTTCGTTCCTCTCTACTTGTCGGCTCTCCGATTCTCTTCGCTGCTATCTCGTTTGATTAAATTAGGGTTCTTGCGTGTTTTCTCTCATCGTGTTCTGCTGCTAGCTCCTGGAAGTATTCTAAGTTCGTTGTTTTGTTCATTTCGAGTTTTATTGATCTGATATAAAGCGTTGTTTAGAGTCCGTTGATTTGCTGTTTGTTATGCTTTAGTGATTTGTTGAAAGTATCGTCCTTGGAATGAGTAAGATTAGCGTTTAATTGATGAAACTTTTCGTTTATTTGATTGATGTTGATAACATCCTTACTCTATACAAACATAAGAAACTTGGATTTTTTGAGAGTTTAAGATTGCTCAAAAGTATCATCTTTCGTAGAGATTTAATAAGAGTGACCCTTGAAATATTACAAGATTCGTATCTGTTTTACTTTATTTATGTTAGCTATAGCATTGAGATGGTCTTTTGTTTTGCAGTTTGAAGTTTCATCATGTGATTTCCCTTGAGCTGTTTAAAGTTCCATCATTTGATTAAAATGTGTTTTTTTTTTTGGCAGCTTGAGGTGAAGAAATGAAGCACAACAATGTTATCCCCAATGGTCACTTTAAGAAGCACTGGCAGAACTATGTGAAGACATGGTTCAACCAGCCTGCCAGGAAAACCAGAAGAAGAATTGGTTAGTAGTAATGTCACCACTTCTGCTTATGTCATGTTTCGTTTTAGGTTTACACTTTAAGTCTCTTTGAATCTAATTATGTTATTTGTTATGTTTTACGCAGCGAGGCAAAAGAAGGCTGTGAAGATCTTCCCTCGTCCAACTTCCGGACCTCTCCGCCCTGTTGTGCATGGTCAGACTCTTAAGTACAACATGAAGGTCAGAACCGGTAAAGGATTCACTCTTGAAGAGCTCAAGGTTTGTAATTTCTATCTCTCTTTCATTTATTCTTATAGCTATCAAGTTTCATGCCTTGCTGGATATTGATTGGATTGTTGATTTCTGATTATTGAACTCTATTCATATAGCTATCAAGTTTCATTTCATTTACGTGTAAATGAATATTGTTGGGATTGTTGATTTCTGATTGTTTGATTAATATAGGCTGCTGGTATCCCAAAGAAGTTGGCTCCTACAATCGGTATTGCTGTTGACCATCGTCGCAAGAACCGATCTTTGGAGGGTCTTCAAACCAATGTCCAGAGGCTGAAAACCTACAAGACTAAGTTGGTCATCTTCCCGCGTCGTGCTCGCAAGGTTAAGGTAATCATTCGAAGGAATTAGTCTAGGGTTTAGTGTTCTTCATCATTTGTTGGATTGGTACTGATCTCTTACTTGTTCTGTTTTTGTTTGTGTGTTGGTAGGCTGGTGACTCTACACCAGAAGAGTTGGCTAATGCTACCCAAGTTCAAGGAGACTACTTGCCTATTGTACGTGAGAAGCCAACCATGGAGCTCGTCAAGCTGACTTCAGAAATGAAGTCCTTCAAGGCGTATGATAAGATACGCCTTGAACGCACGAACAAGAGACATGCTGGTGCTAGAGCCAAGAGAGCCTCCGAGGCTGAGAAAGAAGAGAAGAAGTGAGGTCCTTCTTCTTAGTTAGAAGAAACTTTATCTTATCAACTTTTGGAACTGAATTTTTGTGTATCAGACTCTGTTTTTTGTTTCATCAGTTTTTATCCTGAAATCTTGGATTTTGCTGTTACCTTGCTTCTCTGGATTTATGGAAAATATCGTATCACACATCTCCACTTCCTCTTTAGTTTGACTTCCCTTCGTATGCTTCTTTTTCTCCCACAGTCTGCAAATTTATAAGAATCTTATCTGGCTTTTGCAAAAAATATAATGTTTCATTTGGTTACTTACGGACATGGTTGAATATGTAATTATGTATTACTAAGATTATATTAGTTTAGCAAGTATAGTAAATTCAAGCCACAATCGACGCAACCAAAAACTCTCTCTTTAACCTGCAAATAGACATTGCAGTTCTTAAGCACTTGAGCAGTAAAAACTTATTTCCACAGATGAAGAACAATTTCAAAAGATCAACAATTGTTAGGTTAAAAGATCAGTCTCTGATTGAAAGAGAAATTGTACAAATCTATCATCGACAACTCTTCCATGAACTCTTGTAGCTAGGCTCCATACTCTTGATAAAGATGAAACTACTGTCTGAAGCTGAAGGATTGAGAGGTCGAGCAATCAGACTTAGACGACTATTAGTATAGACTTCATCCCAAAGCTCATCAGCCATAATAAAGGAAAGGAAGCTTATAAAAACCTAAGAATGTTTTCTGATAAAAGATAAAAGAGTTTGAAAACTAAATCTAAAGTATACAATAGACAACATTTATCTCGAAACAGTATCAATTACCTTCAAAGTTACAAATTTTCATTATGTTCAAAAGAAAACAAAAATTGTTAAAAGATAGGAATAGGTAGGAGGACAATGTGAACTAAATCGACTAAAACAAAATAAAGAAATGATTTTCAATTTAAGAGTTTAGAAGTCGTGAAATAGCATAATCGCATCATCAAGTTTAAACATAGTGGAAGAGAGTAACAGCCTCTTGGCTCTGACCTTGATCACTCTCTCCTTTAATGGTCCTTCCAGTTTATCTGATGGCAACATCAGCAACTGCCACAAAAGCAATAACAGGTTTATTAGTATTTTGACCAGCTTGAAACCCATTGAGTTAATCGATTTGCAGTGTGACTAACCTCTTTTTCGGATTCTAACTCATGAGCCAACCTGAGATTCAAGTTAAGTGAAGCATGATACATTTCATCTAACATTTGCCTAGTCACAATCAACTTGTTTACCTTCCACAACAGAAACGGTACATACGTACCCGTGATCGCCAATTTCTACAAAAACGAACAGAAGAGAACAACAATGAATCTCATATCAACCAATTCGTTTTAGTTTTGGAAATGACTTGGTTTCGAAACTATGAATACCTGCATATGTAAGTATCCGTCTTTCCACATCTTCAAAAGGAATTGCGGTGTGTCTTTCTTTTCAGTCAGCGCGGCATCAGCAATCTTACAGAAAAAAAAAAAACAAATTGATGGAAGTTAAGAAATCATTATGACTTAAAGATTTCTATATGAACCAGAAAGAACAGTCATTAACCTTATCGGTCTCAACAAAACGCCCTTCCTGTGATAAGTATCTGAACATTCTGAAAGCTTCTTTCCCATATCTTCTCATAACTACTGCTTCTATCTATAACCATCTCAAAGATCTCGTTTTTAGTTTCAGAAATATGTCAAGAAAAGAAAAAAAAATTATGAAACGCACCTCATCTTTCTGTGCTACGCTGATAATGGATTTAAAATCTGCAAAACCAAATAACAAAAGAATATAAAAGGTCAGCTTGAAAACAAGAATCAGTTTACTAGAATTTGAATGGAGTTACCATACCAACTATGTATGAATCATTCATTTCTGTCACAAATGCTGGTAGATAAGAAGACGTAGCACTCAATTGGTCAAGGCATGCTTCAACTCGCTCTTGTAACATAGTGCGACCTGCTTCTGTCTTTATAACCTCTTCATAAATGGAACCAATTGACATTGGAGCTGTTTCAAAGATTAAAGCAAATTAAGTTACTCAACAGAATTTCATAGGTGGACTTTTGGTGGAGAGTGCCGAATCAATCACACCAAATACAATTTTAACTTCAACATATTTTGATTATGTTAAGATATTGAATGAAAATGAGTGAGCAACTCAGATATTACCCGAATTGTCTGTTTTCACCTTCTTCTCCTGTGATCTTCCTACTTCTAACATTGCCCTCAAGACAATGGCACATCCTTCATCCCTGCGCTCTTTCACAATCTCCACACACGCCTTCAACAAGAAAACAAGTGGTTAAAAGATAAGAACCAGTAAGATAGATTAGAAAAAAACAAAATTTCAAATGCCAATAACGAAGAGCTTTTTCTCTCATCAAACTACCTCAAAAGAGAAACATGGATAACTAACCTTATGTCTAAGGCGGTGGATGAACTCCTCATAATTAGGATGCCAAATTACTCCACTGCTCGGATCTGATGAGTCCACATCACGTTGTTTACGCTAAAATATTCGGTTCAATGAGAAACATCAACAAAGGTATTCAGTGCTACATCATGAAAATGTGTGCTTATAAGATAGCCAAGATTGGTTATGGTTAGAATGCTGATACCTTCCCCTCAGTGATGTTGCTATCGTCATCTGCTAAAGATGAATGGGCATCTTCTTCGAATATAAGTGGAAATCTTATTGCGTCAACTGGAGTTGCTGCTTCAACAACACGTTCCTCCAAGGTTTCCGGTTCTTTGAGAATCTACACAGTTCCAAGAGATTTATTAATCTCGAACAGAATAAAAAATCAAAACGGAGAGTCATGTCGCTGCAGTTGGTAGGTCTGATAAACAATAAACTGATATATCGGACAATGTATAGGTATACCAAACACCAGAAAGACATTATCAATTACCTTGGCAGCTTTAGCGCCTCTTTTCTTTGCCGGCTCTTGTTCTTTGTTTCCAAGCACAGGTTCGGGAGAAGGAATGCGCTCAACAAAACGGGCAGCAACCAATTTCTGAAGAGAATCTCTAATTGCTTCAGAACCTATCGTTTTTCCTGAACCTGATCATGTATGAAGAACCGTATACAACAGATTAGCATCCATTCCGTTTGAAGCATTATTGTAATCAAAACGAGATACACAAAGTCCAAAAGCCAGTGCCTACGATGAGAGTAAACTGTGGTAATATAACATACGAGGAACATA